CAGGCAAAGAAAGCACACACACGACCTACCTCACAGGTCGTGTAAACACCTACCAACACACAGCACCTGAGAAAAGCTCCACTGTTGATGAGACTGAAGTGAACAGTGTTGGAGAGGCTTGCTGGTTAGAATACCTGACTGAGCAGAGAGATTCTGGTAAATGCTTTAACCTCATTATGTGTTGCGGAAATGTACCGGAATGTATATGGTGCAGTGGTCTCTGTGTAGAAAATACGCAATTTACAAAGTTAGAGTCTGATAGTGATATGCCATTCATTTATACTAATGTGTTGTTCTTACAACCACAACCACAAGGTCAAGGTCAATAATTATAATTATATAATAATAATAACACTATTGTCTGAAATGCATACGGGCTGGGGACACACCTCCCTGTAATATCAAATCACATTTTTTGGGTCGCATACACATATTTAGCAGATGTTATTGTGGGTGTAGCGAAATGCTTGGGGCATATTACACACACACACACACACACACACACACACACACACACACACACACACACACACACTAATAAATTATTCACACTATTCATAAGTTTGCCACTTCCGTGCCTGATTGATTCATTGCTGCTTAGATTCTGTGATGACTGTAATATTGAAGTACACATGTACAGTCATGAAGCTAGCATGGAATATATGGATCATCCACTACATGTTAAAGGGATGTTCCAAAGGAGAGGAGTTTCCATGGAAACAATAAAGGATCCATGGGTATTTTGTCTCCTGATAAAAATCTGAAAGTATTAAAAGAGCAACTAGTTGAACAGAGAGTTTGATGAGTTTTGAGTTTTCATATCATCTTTGAGAGAAGTCTCTCCAATCACTGTTTCATACATGATCTGAAATGATCATGAAGGCCTAAAGTTATATTCTATTCTAATCTATTTTATTCGATTACATTTCATTCTACTATATTCATCTGAGCAATAACAGTCTGGTGGTAAATAGTTATAGAGTAGTCGAATAACAGCATAAGGTCAATTGAATAATTTATGTGCTGCATTTAGTTGGAACAGGAGGATAGCCAACTGCACAACGAAGCCCGGTAGGCTAGAATTAGCCTGGAATTAGGCTATTCACAGAAAGAAAGGTAGGCTGCTGCAAGTGAAACTGTGAAGCGGTGTGCTTTGCTGGAGCATTGGAACAGCACTTGAGTTGGAAGGATTATGCGCAGGTAAAACAAATAGGCTTACTATAAAGTCGTAACAAATCAGTTAAAATACTGTCATATGCCTAAATACTGAATATCGGTCAGGCTACATCAGACGGATTAGCATAAAGTATATAGGCCTACTGACAATACATTACAACAACATGGGACTCACCTTTGCAAAGTTTCTACTGAGATTTCGAATGCCGAGAAATGATGAACGAAAGCAAAATGTGTGCGCTGAACTTAATGTGTTATTACGTAATATAATAAATAGGTATAAATAAATTAAAAACAAAGCTTTAAAATTACAACTTCAACCTATAGTACTAGTAGCTTTCTTCCAGTCTCCAGACTGACACCATCATGAATTGAATGTTTCTGAAGTGCGTGCAGCCGTAGCCAGCCTCCGTCTCCGTTAAGCGGTTTATGGGGGGGGCGGGGCGACGTGTAAATGACAAGAACTGTCTCAAATCAGAACACTGAACCGTGGTGGACGTCTCATGTTCAGAGGCGGGATTGGGTACCGTTGACAGCATCTTTTCCGTGACGTAGCTAGTCATCATGAGAGAGCACCGAATTGTCCCAGGTATTCTTTACAAGTAGGCCTTCATTGTAAATAAGAATTTGTTCTTAACTGACTTGCCTAGTTAAATAAAGGTTCAATGCATTCTGAGGATGGCTTAGGTAAACGCATTGAATATGTCCCAAATGGCACCAAATTCCCTTTCTAGTGCACAACTTTTGACCGGGCCCATAGTGCCCATAGAGAATAGGGTACAATGCCATTTGTCATTTGGGATGTAGGCAGTGGTGTAAAGTACTTAATTAAAAAATACTTTAAAGTACTACTTAAGTAGTTTTCTGGGGTATCTGTACTTTACTATTTATATTTTTGACAACTTTTACTTTTACTTCACTAAATTACTAAAGAAAAGTATGTACTTTTTACTCCATACATTTTCCCTGACACTCAAAAGTACTTGTTACATTTTGACAGGAAAATGGTCCAATTCACACACTTATCAAGAGAACATCCCTCGGTCATCCCTACTGCCTCTGATCTGGCGGACTCACTAAACACAAATGCTTCAATTGTAAATTATGTCTGAGTGTTGTAGTGTGCCCCAGGCTATCCATCTGGCTTGCTTAAAATAAGGAATTTGAAATGGTTTATACTTGTACTTTTACTTTTGATACTTAAGTACATTTTAGCAATTCCATTTACTTTTAATACTGAAGTATATTTAAAACCAAATACTTTTAGACTTTTACTCAAGTAGTATTTTACTGGGTGACTTTCACTTTTACTTGAGTCATTTTCTATTAAGGTATCTTTACATTTACTCAAGTATGATAATTGAGTACTTTTTCCACCACTGGATGTAGACATAAATGCATACAAACAAACAAACAAATTCTAACATGCATCCTTTGTCCTGATATTGTCCACATTCTGATTGTGCCCACTTTTTCAGAAAGGTGTAGACGATTAAAAGACACATTGTGATCTGATTGTGATCAGATCTTCCTGACCACCTCCAGAGGTAGTCAGGCACCCATTGTGTCTGGATATCAATCAAGTGTAAAGAGATCTGGATGGTCAAACCCATTTAAATCATCATTATACTGGTCTCTAAAACCATTGACATGTAGCACCATTGACTAATGGCATCAGTAACTGTCTAAAATGTATATGTAAATGTGTATTATTTTTGAAATAATATCTGTGAACTAACTTGCATACAGGGAGGCACCAGCTAATCTGGTCACAATGCGGACACAGAGGATGGATAAGAGACAGATTTTAGTACCATGTGTAAACGTGACAAACCTTGATCAGATAGTCGCTGGATCATATTGATCAGATCACAAGGTGTACGAAAGGCATGTTACACAACTTCTGTAAGTAGATAGGCTAAAATGTGTTTGACCTCTAACGTGCGTTCCCAAACTTGCCCGTCTCTGTGATTGATAATGGACAGGTGTTCGTTCAGCATAGGCTACTCTGAGGTAAGGCCACTTACTCACCATCTTAAACAGTTACACCAGACACGTTTAGCATATGAGCAGTTACAACCCCACCTCTCAATCTGTGGTTGCAGATGTGTTTGTTTTGTTGTTTTTGATTGGTATAAGTGTGTGCCTAACGCCCTGATTAAACAATCACTGCCCCTTCAACGGTGGGGAATGTGAAAGACCTTCCCCTGGAGTTGCTCAATACATGGTGTGCTCCCACTGGCACCATGACTACACATGAAGGAGCATGATGCATATTTGTGGCCTCACCTGTCTCCTTGAGATTATACCTAGTCCTTATTCATGCCAATTATTTCAAAGCATAACATGTAAACAATCATCAGCATTACTGGTAATGATACCTTGTTGCCATCGGCCACTGTTTCCCAGGCAATAAACTTGAGCCTGCCCCTGGGTGGTGTGCTGGTTTATATTGTGAATGACTCCACTAACTTGTTTCCTTTTTAGATGTTTTCATTTGAATGTTTTATTGACAGACTTAGGATAGATCCGTATCACATTCTGCACATGTGTGTTTCTGTACTTCTACTTTACTCACACAGTTTTGCGGTCACCCTCCCTTCACATTTCTCACTGTCAATTGTGAATGATAATTCTCCAAGTTTTACCAGTGAAACATCCGTGCAGTATCTGCATGCAAACCATTTGATTTCAATCAGTTTCATGGGAATATGCATTTCAATCTTCTTAGTGCCTTAGGCCTACAGTGTTGTTCTGAGATAGTGGGGTCAAAGGTCACTTGTCTGAGGTCAGCTGAGCATCCTATGAGATGCTTCGAGAAACTACCCACAGTTCTAAAGACCAGAGACAGTTGGGAAATGCTGACCTACACTGCCATCTACTGGACAAATGGTATCAGAACCACTGATGTATCGGAGAAGATGTTGCTGTCATTGGAGGACATTATGGTCATAAACCTATTAAAAACAATCTCTATATTTTCTATGTGAATGAAAGTGATTTAGACAGTGAATTGGCACTACAAATATAGCCTATGATCTAGATAAAACAACTTCAAGAGATTTAAAGTTATTTCACATGCAATCTTATAAAACTATAATTCATAACTATTATGGGTTTTATTTGAATTAACATCAGTACATGATCAGTGATCAAGTAGATCCCTCCAGATCCCTCCTGTACTCTGAGCATCATTTCTTAGAGAGCATGTTGCCGAGAAAGATGGAATGACAAATTGCTGTAGAACGCTCAAGGACAGTCTTTTGTGTCAAGCTGTTAAGCCAATCTGACTGGCTGACTGCTAACACATGGTGTTGGAGGTGAAAAGGTATTTTTCTCTCTCAGATGCTGCTGCTGGACAGAAGGTCAATGCAGCACTTGTAGTGTGAAAATATGGATTCTGTATATGGGTCTGTATCTGGCTACACATCAAAGAATATCCCTGAGGTGGACTCCTATACCCCAGAAAGTAATTCAACTGTAGATTTCTTTACACTTTTTAATGGACCATAAAATGTGTCCCTTTCATGTGTTCACCTGTCATTCCATCTTTCATGTGTTCACCTGTCATTCCATCTCTTAATTGTGTCATGAATTGTGACACATACACTCAAAGCATGCAAACTAATTCTGGATGATTTTATTTGAAAGATCTGCACATGGAAAGATAGATATAATAAGCAAAACATGTCAGCAGCTTTGAGTAAGCTACAGTATATGTTTGGATTTACCATCATGAAGAGATAACATTGTAGACCTTAGACCCATCCAACTCACTAAGCCCTACAGACTGTGGGCATAGTGGTAGGCCTACATTACAGTGCTCAGTTGTGGAAATAGTAGGAGTTGAAGCCGTAGAAGCGGTGCTTTCTCCCGGTGTGTACATTGTCCTGCAGGTTGACCGTGCCCCCCTGGAGGGAGCTGTGGAAGAGGCGGTGGACCTCCGACTTACTGAAGGAGTCCTGGAGCTCCAGCAGGGCCAACTGGCACCGGCCCCTGCCCCTCTCCCCTGGGTGGGTGGAAGGCAAGGCATGGGGACGGGGTTGGATACAGGGGTTGGAGATACTGCGAGGGATGGGGATCTCTCTGTTATGCCACTCCTGATCCTGTTCTTCAAGGGTCTGATTGGCAGTCGACCCGCTTGAGCGCCAGTTACGGATGTTGGGAGAGACCAGATCAGCAGCAGTCTCAGATTCATATGCCGCCCCTGTGTTGTTAGTAGCCAATGCTGACGCTGGCTGGCTCAGGCTGAACGGGTTACCCCCTGATGCTGTGTAGCTCTGCTTCTTGCTGCTAGGAACGTCCTCGTAGTATACCTCACTCTGGGGGTTATTCTCTTTGGTAACCTCTGTGGTCTCATTCAGGGGAGGATGGGAAAGCTGGCGGCTGCACAATGCCAGAGAGCTCTCCATGTCTGTGACCTTCTCCACCGCTCCCTTCTCCAGGGAGGCTCTGGGAGCCTGGCTGCTCTGCTGGGGGTCTGATGCCCCTGGCCCTGGGTGGTGGAGCCCCTCTCTGGCCTCCGTGACCTGGCACTCACACCTCTCCTCCCCACACCTCTCACACCTGGAGCCTTGATCTTGAAGGTGGTGACTAGGGAACACATACCCAGACACCTGAGCAGGCTCAGGCTCAGACACATCTACAGCCGCAGGCCTGGCTAGACTGAGCTCTGAGTGGCCATCCTAAGGAGAGTGGTTCCCCTGTATCCCCTGATGACCATGGTGACCAGACATGGTTCCCAGAGGCACAGCAGGGTGATTCTGTGTGTAGGTCTGGTCTGCGTTGAGGGACTCTGCTGCTGGGGCAGTGACAGGAGGGTGGTAGGTGCTCTCCACAGTACGACGGCCCTGGCGTATTCTGGCCTTGCGCCCGTCTCGTGGTTAAGAGGGCACCAGGACGGGGTAGGATCGCTCCCTCTGAGAGAGACAAGCACTGGTTTGTTAGGAGGAGGTTTGTCTAGTTCAGTCATCAAAGTAAAGAGATACTGAAGAAAAACGGTGTGCTTGCTTAAGCTGTCTAAAAGTATTTTTACAGTAGTTGGGGAAGTTTAAGAAGTTTTAGAGGCTAATGTGTTATTTTAGGGAAGCAGTTAAATGTATTAAAACTGTTGCACTGTGTATTCAGGTGATTCATACGTTACTGTACGTACCAGATGTGTTGTGTAGGGAGTCATCTTCCCAGTGATCATGTCAATGGGGTTCTCAAGGAAGTCATCCAACCTCAAGGGATTAGTAGGCCCAGTTCCTGGAGTCAAAATATATAAACTCTGTTAACAAACTAACTGTTTGCAAAAGTGTGTTGATGCTGTTTCTCAGGGATGGGGAACTGTGATGGGGGTGGGGGCCACAAGAAATCTGAACTCATCATGAGGGGCCGCAGGGGCTCGCGGTCTGCGTACCCACATCCATTCCCACACATGCAGTCAGAGCCGGCCACCAGAAAATGTTGCAGTTTTACAACTCATTTCACACAATTCTACTAATTTTGCCATGGGGAGAAGATACATTTTCAGTTTTACAGTTCATTTACTGCAATTCTACACATTTTTCCATAGGTGGAGATAAATGCTTACATTTAATATGATATCTGAGTGAGAGTGACTAACCAAATCAATGGGGGCCCCCGGCCGGTAATTTGACCATGATTACTACAAGTTTAGATAGCTGGCTAGACTAACTTACCAATCTAAAAAATGGTAGCGGACATGGGCTAATTGACTGACTGTAAATTACTAACATAACAAGAGAAAAACTGCTGATGTACAACCAAATTTCAAAATGTCACCTTGTGTATTCTACTATTCTAACTCTCAACAGTAAGTTGAGACCCCGACTGAGTTCCTAAAAACATTGAATAATAACAACTGGTAAATTGATCCGCGGGCCGCCAGTTCCCTTTTCTAACTAGTCTGGAGTATTACTCCATTTGCATCTGGATGTGTGTCAAATGGCACCCTATTCCCTATAGAGTACACCTCTTTTGACCAGAGCCCTATGGACTACATAGGATGCCTTTTGGGATACAGCCTGTGTGTTTGGGGCTCTGCTCTGTATACCCGTGTAGTGAAGCTGGTAGGAGGTGACCCAGTGGGACTTCTCTACGTTGCGGAGCATGTTGGCTGTTGGTTCAGACAGTGTGACGTTCCAGTCACGCAGGGTAGGGTTGGGAAACACTGTCTTCTGGCCCTTAGGGTAGAATGCCTGGGTCTGGGCCTCAGGGTGCTGAGAGAGAGACAGAGATAAAGGGGAGGCAGGACAGGTGACCTTCTTCCTTGGGTTGTTTCTCAAATGGAACCCTATTCCCTTAATAGTGCACCACTTTTGACCAGGGCCCTGGAATAGGGCATCATTAAGGAATAGGGTACCATTTGGGATGCATCCCTAGTCATTCACTTCAGTGGGAACATACATTTATTGGGCTTCCGAGGTCAAATGAGATGAAATATAACATGAAGGATCTTATTCTGCCTCCCAAATAGCACTCTATTCCCTATGTAGTGCACTCTATAGGGAATAGTGTACTATTTGGGACGCAGTTGTTTCTGTGTACAGTGAGAGGGAAACCTAGCTAAATGACTGTACTGTAGCTACTCACATCCAGGAAGCCATGATGTCCTGGCCATGAGATAGTTTTCTTCCTGGTTGTCATGGGTGTCTCCAGTACCTCATGACGAAGAGGACCCCCTGTGATTGAAGACAAGACACTTCATCTGGGAATGAGGCTTGTGCTTGTGTGTGTGACCTTACACAGGCCAGCACGCAGACACACACACACACACACACACACACACACACAGAGACCTGTATAAACACCACTTTTTGTCTTTCTCAGCACGATGACCTCTGGAGCAGAGGCCGGGACGAGAGGGTTCAGGGGTCGTAGGGACGCAGCTCTCACGCCTGTGTCGGGGTCGTCTGGTGAGCGGAACGTTGGGAACAGGGCGAAGTGGGAGATGTGGGCCTGATACGGATGTTCCTTTGGAATCGGAACCTTTATCATTAGCTCTCTGTAGGGAAGGAGGGCATAGCAGTGAAGGAAGGAGAGATGTTACCACTTTATTGAAGCAGTTATTGTAAAAGGATATTAACACTATAAACTGTATCCTCCTTTATCCTCTTTCTGTTGGGAGGGCAGAGCAGTAAAGGACACAGAGACTACATTTCATATACAGTAAGCAGTTAGACGGATATTAATCCTATACATTCTATAATGATCTTACTGTTGAGGGGGATGGCATATCAATTAAGAAAGCAGAGACCAACTTTATACAAGCAGTTACTGTAGAACAGGGGTCTCCAACCATGTTCCTGGAGAGCTACCCTCCTGTAGGTTTTCGCTCCAACCCCTGTTGTAAAAACCTTCTTCAGCTTATCAACCAGCTAATTATTAGAATCAGGTGTGCTAGATTGGGGTTGGAGTGAAAACTTACAAGATGGTAGCTCTCCAGGAACAGGGTTGGAGAGCCCTGCTGTAGAAGGATATTACAGTAGTACTGTAACAGTTACTTTATAAGGATATTACAGTAGTACTGTAACAGTTACTTTATAAGGATATTACAGTAGTACTGTAACAGTTACTGTAGAATGATATTACAGTAGTACAGTAACAGTTACTGTAGAAGGATATTACAGTAGTACTGTAACAATTACTGTAGAATGATATTACAGTAGTACTGTAACAGTTACTGTAGAAGGATATTACAGTAGTAATGTAACCGTTACTGTAGAAGGATATTCCAGTAGTACTGTAACAGTCACTGTAGAAGGATATTACAGTAGTACTGTAACAGTTACTGTAGAAGGATATTCCAGTAGTACTGTAACAGTTACTGTAGAAGGATATTACAGTAGTACTGTAACAGTTACTGTAGAAGGATATTACAGTAGTATGGTAACAGTTACTGTAGAATGATATTACAGTAGTACTGTAACAGTCACTGTAGAAGGATATTACAGTAGTACTGTAACAGTTACTGTAGAAGGATATTACAGTAGTACGGTAACAGTTACTGTAGAAGGATATTACAGTAGTAATGTAACAGTTACTGTAGAAGGATATTACCAGTAGTACTGTAACAGTTACTGTAGAAGGATATTACAGTAGTACGGTAACAGTTACTGTAGAAGGATATTACAGTAGTACAGTAACAATTAAGAATGAGAAACTGATCTAGATCACAAAATGAGAACTTACGCGATGTTGATGTCCGTTGGTTTTGGAATACTGAAAAGAGATGTTTGTAAAATAAGAGGGATAATGAATAAGAACGTTATGTTGGTGTAAAACTGATTTCAGCTATGGTACAGTGATGAACTGCAGCGTTCCGTCCCAAATGGCATCCTATTTCCTTTATAGTGCACTACTTTTGACCACAGCCCTATGGGCCCAGGTCAAAAATAGTGCACCATATAGTATGTAAAAGGCAACCTACAGCTGGTCGTTGAGGCGGACGTTACTTTTCTTGGTAGGCGTAAGGTCATAAAACTGTTGAACGGTGATGTTCCTGTGAAGACATACCAGTTTAAAGGAAAATAACCAAAGTTGCGTCTCAAATGGAACCCTATTCCTTATACAGCGCACTACTGGTCAAAAGGAGTGCATAGCATAGGGAATAGGGTGCCATTTGGGGAACAAACCAACAAATACAGCATACCCTTGGTATCAATCCACAATCTCACAATTACTCGAAAGCAAGGATTTTGGCCCACACTTGGAATAATTTGAGAGAGCATTTTCTGAATGCTACTGAATGCTAGATACTCGGAGGGGTTAAAATAAAGCAGAAGACAAGTTTCCGTCAGCCATCGTGTACATTAGACCAATAAAAAGTAATCTTCCTAATCCTAATCTTACTCAGGTGGGACGGCTCCTCCGTAGCTTAAGTGGCGATGGCCCTTGATGACGGCCGGGGTGTGTTTACCCTTCTGGGAGGAGGAGGAGGACGCCATCTTGTGGCTGGAGTGCTGGCTCAGTCTACGATGAGGGCGACCCAACGGGATGACCCTGCTGTTACTGGGTACTCTGGGAAGTGGTGGGACTCGGCTGCTAGGGCCTCTGGGAAGAGGACTGCAAGAGGACATTTAAACCTGTTGCTGAGGAGCAAGTCAAGGGGTGTGTACCAAATGGCACCCTATGCCCTATTTGGACAGGTCAAAAGTAGTGCACTGTAAATGGAATAGGGTGGCATTTGGGATGCAGACTAGGGTTCCCAACGACACTCCTGTTCAGATGTTACCCGCTAACATTCCCATGTGACACCATTCCTAACATATATGACAGTCAAGTCCATGACAGACAAAAGTATTTATTTCCATCAGCTGAACTACATGTAGTTCCCATAGTGCACCAATACATAATGTACAACATATACAGTACAATAACCAAATATACTGTAGTGCACTGGCAAACAAAATGGAGTCATGCAGGAGGATAAGATAGCTATTCTCTTACCTGGGCAGAGGTGGAGAGTGAGGCTGCTGCTTACACCGTGGTGGTGGCCTCCTGCTCTGTACGTGTTTCAGCTCCTTGTTCTGTTTGTACATGTAAGTCTCCTCTTTCAGTCGCTGGAGGAGGGAGAAGTAGTCATCCAGCGATGGCGGGTCTTTCTGGGGCACAGAGACAGGGTAAACCCCCCTGGCCTGGTGCAGGCGTTTCAGGAGGGGCAAGGAGGAGGAGGACCTCTGTTTGTGAGACAGGAGTAAGGGACTCCTCCCTATGTGTCTGTGGACAGTGGGACGTTGCTGAATCCCTAGGCTGGTCATAGTGACGATGACGTTGTCTTCAACAGTAGGCTAGCGTCCGCAACAGGATCTGGGTTAGTGACACCCTATCCACTGTCTAGGCCAGCTCCAGGGCTGCCTGAGAAGCACACAGGCTTGGTCTCTGTGTCTGTGCTCTCAGCAGGACCTGTATGATACAGGAAGTTACTACTGTGAGATAAATACTTGAGCACTGTCTGCAAACTATCAGAGATTTACCTTCATCCATTTCTTATAATGTCCCATGTCTGCCAAGAGGCCTGTTAGTAGATCCTGCATACAAAACTGTCAACAATGTATTAGTCCGCGACTATCATGTAGAGACCTATGGAAATGTAATGAATAATAGTGTCAAATAATGAATTATGCTAATTGATCAATTCCAGCTAGAGCAATCAGTGCTGAGAATACAGAGCCAAGTCTCCCCAGGGATAATATTACAGCGTCACAGCTCAGTGAAGCAGCATCGAGAAGAATGACCAGCTTCACAAAGCCTGAAACCCAAACAGGTTAGCATGAGGCCGTGTCTAACGACAACAGATAGGTTCAGTGACAGAGGTGGGCTCTGATTACTGCATGGCTACTCGTGTTCCTCCATGCACGCACAGACACACACACAGACACAGACACACAAACACACCTGTAAACTGTAAAATTGCATTAAATACCCAGGCCATATGTCACACTGTATAGACTTCATTATCCGTGCTTTTATTTATGTAGGGCTACACTCACCTGCATTGGCCACATAACATTAGAATGATAGAATACACACATAGCTAGAATACTATACATTTAATTCGTTCTATTTATGTTATTAAACATTCGCACACAACTGACTACAGTACGTTCTAATTGTATGTTCGTTTCACATGCAGGCCTATGTGTTGTTTTTCTCCACAAGACATCATAGACTGACCCAGAATAAATTGTGTCAAGGGGGTAATGTACTTCAGCGCGAAGAGGCCTACCGACCTTATGTTCACAACGGCAACGCCATTGTTAGGTTTAGATCGGAAAGAACTGTCAGAGTTGTATGAAACCGAGGCCTCGCTGTCGCTGAGATGTTCTTTGCTGTCCGTACAGGTTTGAGGCAGTACAATCATGCCTTGTTGATTACATCAGAGCATGTCACCTTCTCTTGTCACAATGGAATCGGAATCAAAGGCTGGATTTCGCGGCGTTGAAAATAATCTCTCCTTTAGCTGTCCATGGTACTGAATCTATGTGAGGTTCGGTTTGTGCCAGAAAACACAAGAACGGCTTTTGTTCAGGAGCAATGGGCCTAGTTTATGGATAAATTATTCATAGAATCAAGAATAGAAGTAGTATTTTCTTTGCTTACTAATTTTATAAATTGGTCAATGCGAGGGGTGTTTTATTGATTTGAACCTTGCCAACCTTGTTAAAAACAGGCGCTCTCCCACTCACCGTTTCAATTCACACAGCGTCTATCAATAAAAACACAGACCCACCGTGAAACACAACACACTTCTAGGCTACAATGCCCTGCCCTTATTCTAGAATCTAGCCCACCGTTCCATCCCCCGCATGCCCCATAATCAATACAATACCAATGGACGTGACATGGTTTGCATACCAAATGGCACCCTATACCCTATAAGTAGACTTAGAAGTCTACTTCCTAAGTTTGAGTTATTCACTGCGTTAGCACACTCCGCCAACCCTGATGTTCTAGCAGTGTCTGAATCCTGGCTTAGGAAGGCCACCAAAAATTCAGAAATGTCCATCCCCAACTACAACATTTTCCTTCTAGATAGAACTGCCAAAGGGGGTGGAGTTGCAATCTACTGTAGAGATCTATCATACTATCCAGGTCTGTGCCCAAACAGTTTGAGCTTCTACTTCTAAAAATCCACCTTTCCAGAAATAAGTCTCTCACTGTTGCCGCTTGCTACAGACCCCCCTCAGACCCCAGCTGTGCCCTGGATACCATATGTGAATTGATTGCCCCCCATTTATCCTCAGAGTTCGTACTGCTTGGTGACCTACATTGGGATATGCTTAACACCCCGACCATCCTACAATCCAAACTAGATGCCCTCAATCTCACACGAATTATCAAGGAACCTACCAGGTACAACCCTAAATCCGTAAACATGGGTACCCTCATAGATATTGTAGTAACTAAATAATGATGCTAATTATGCTGTGAGAACAAGGAATCCGCTGACACTGTACTTTGATTATAAAGGTGTATTATATCAAAAGATTTCAGCGTCAATTTACAGACTTCTGCAGGCATCTGGAGAACAACCGACCCAATCTAATATGTTGTTACTCCCCTCCTTTGCCCCAACCAAGGTATGTATAATCTGTGACATGATATGGGTGGTTTCCCCTACAGACCAATCCCAGGACTCCACATAACAGACTTCCTCTGTTTTAGGGTGCCCCTATAGAAATGCTCTCCAGATGCTTCCTCAAGCCGAGTCAACATCCTCTAAGACACCATTTGCAAACGTTAGCAAAGTCATAAATCGCTTAGACACTACAATATCATCCTGACTAACTTAACCTCTAAATACACCTCCACTGTCTTCAACCAGGATCTCAGCGATCACTGCCTTATTGCCTGTGTCCGTAACGGGTCCGCGGTCAAACGACCACCCCTCATCACTGTCAAACGCTCCCTAAAACACTTTAGCGAGCAGGCCTTCCTAATTGACCTGGCCCAGGTATCCTGGATGGATATAGATCTCATTCCGTCAGTAGAGGATGCCTGGTTGTTCTTTAAAAGTAATTTCCTCTCAATCTTAAATAAACATGCCCCATTCAAAAAAGACAGAACTAAGAACAGATATAGCCCCTGGTTTTCCTCAGACTTGACTGCCCTTGACCAGCACAAAAACAAATCTGGACCCCTACAAACCATCTGGGCTAGACAATCTGGACCCTTTCTTTCTAAAACTAGCCGCCAAAATTGTCGCAACCCCTATTACTAGCCTGTTCAACCTCTCTTTCGTAACGTCTGAGATCCCCAGAGATTGGAAAGCTGCCGCGGTCATCCCCCTCTTCAAAGGGGGTGACACTCTAGATCCAAACTGTTACAGACCTATATCCATCCTGCCCTGCCTTTCGAAGGTTTTTGAAAGCCAAGTTAACAAACAGATCACCGACCATTTCGAATCCCACCGTACCTTCTCCGCTATGCAATCCGGTTTCCGAGCTGGTCATGGGTGCATCTCAGCCACGCTCAAGGTCCTAAACGATATTATAACCGCGATCGATAATAGACAGTACTGTGCAGCCGTCTTCATCGACCTGGCCAAGGCTTTCGACTCTGTCAACCACCGCATTCATATTGGCAGACTAAATAGCCTTGGTTTCTCAAATGACTGCCTCGCCTGGTTCACCAACTACTTCTCAGATAGAGTTCAATGTGTTAAATCGGAGGGCCTGTTGTCTGGACCTATGGCAGTCTCTATGGGGGTACCACAGGGTTCAATTCTTGGGCCGACTCTTTTCTTTGTGTATATCAATGATGTCGCTCTTGCTGCTGGTGACTCTCAGATCCACCTCTACGCAGACGACACCATTTTGTATACATCTGGCCCTTCATTGGACACTGTGTTAACAGTGCCATACAACACTCCTTCAGTAGCCTCCAACTGCTCTTAAACACTAGTAAAACTAAATGCATGCTCTTCAATCGAACGCTGCTGGCACCCGCCCACCCGACTAGAATCACTACTCTCGACGGGTCTGACCTAGATTATGTGGACAACTACAAATACCTAGGTGTCTGGTTAGACGGTAAACTCTCCTTCCAGACTCACATTAAGAATCTCCAATCTAAAGTTAAATCTAGAATCGGCTTCCTATTTCGCAACAAAGCCTCCTTCATTCATGCTGCCAAACATGCCCTCGTAAAACTGACTATCCTACCGATCCTTGACTTCGGCAATGTCATTTACAAAATAGCCTCCAACACTCTACTCAGCAAATTGGATGTAGTCTATCACAGTGCCATCCGTTTTGTCACCAAATCCCCATATACTACCCACCACTGTGACCTGTACGCTCTTGTTGGCTGGTCCTCACTACATATTCGTCGCCAAACCCACTGGCTCCAGGCCATCTATAAATCACTGCTAGGCAAATCCCCGCCTTATCTTAGCTCATTGGTCACCATAGCAACACCCACCCGTAGTATGCGCTCCAGCAGGTATATCTCACTGGTCATCCCCAAAGCCAACACCTCCTTTGGCCGCCATTCCTTCCAGTTGTCTGCTGCCAATGACTGGAACGAATTGCAAAAATCTCTGAAGCTGGACTCTTATCTCCCTCACTAACTTTAAGCATCAGTTGTCAGAGCACCTTACCGATCACTGCACCTGTACACAGCCCATCTGAAATTAGCCCACCCAACTACCTCATCCCAATATTGTTATTTATTTTGCTCATTTGCACCCCAGTATCTCTATTTGCACATCATCTCTTGCACATCTAGCATTCCAGTGTTAATACTAATCGTAATTATTTTGCACTTTAGCCTATTTATTGCCTTACCTCCATAACTTGCTACATTTGCACACACTGTATATATATTTTCTGTTGTATTTTTGACTTTATGTTTTGTTTTACCCCATATGTAACTCTGTGTTGTTGTTTTTATCGCACTGCTTTGCTTTATCTTGGCCAGGTCGCAGTTGTAAATGAGAACTTGTTCTCAACTGGCTTACCTGGTTAAATAAATATAACAAATTAAAAAAATAATGACCTATGGGCCCAGGTCAAAAGTAGTGCACTACATAGGAAATAGGGTGCCATTTGGGATTCAGCCATGGAGTGCTTGCCAAGAAGCCTAGGCAGGCCTGGTTTACCAGCTGTTTTAAGGAACCATATTCAGCATTAGCTCTTTAATTGGGATTCTCTTGAGATCTTGTCCAAAGTCTCAGCAAAACACAGATATGTATCACTTCATGCAGCAGACCCAAGTCTAAGTCTGCATCCCAAATAGCACCCTATTCTCTATTTAGTGCACTTTTTTGGGGCCAATAGGCTCCCGTAGGGCTCTGTCAAACGTAGCGCACTATATAGGGAATAGGGTGCCACTTGCCTTGGGACACACCCACTGACAAATGGCACCCTATTCCCAATATAGTGCACTACTACCTACCTATGGACTCAGGTGAAAGGTAGTGCACTTTAAAGGGAATAGGGTGCCATTTGGGACACACCCATCTTAGTCCAGTGACCAATTAGCCTGTTCAGCCTCAGCGGAAGAGCCGCGCTGCTCTCTGGATTACATTTCCTGCTGCTGCATTATACATGTTAAATAGATGCAGAGATTTCTCCAGGCTCTGTCGGCTCTGCTTGTTGTTAATACCCAATATATTTTAGAGGTGGTTTGATTAGCTCACTACACACTGGTGTCAAACTAAGCCGTTGCCTGCGGGGCTGAAAACATACCAGTGTTGTGTTATACAGTAGATCTATCTATCTATCTATCTATCTATCTATCTATCTATCTATCTATCTATCTATCTATCTATCTATCTATCTATCTAATCTGTCTGTCTGTCTGTCTGTCTGTCTGTCTGTCTGTCTGTCTGTCTGTCTGTCTGTCTGTCTGTCTGTCTGTCTGTCTGTCTGTCTGTCTGTCTGTCTGTCTGTCTGTCTGTCTGTCTGTCTGTCTGTCTGTCTGTCTGTCTGTCTGTCTGTCTGTCTGTCTGTCTGTCTGTCTGTCTATATATCTATCTGCCTGCCTGCCTGCCTGCTTGCCTGTCTGTCTGTCTGTCTGTTGCATCCATGTATAACTAGATCCCTCCATGTTGTTCAGTGTAGTTCAGGCCTCATTAGCCACATGTGCATGACATTACAATTAATTAAGCAACAGCTATTGTACATAGCCTAGTGATGAGCGTTTACATTGTTACAACATGTTGCAACAGCCGCCAACCCCCTGAGGCATCATCACACCACTTCACGTCTCCTCTGCTCTGTACCAGATCTCAAAGACAATTAAGAGGGGCGGACTGGAACCAGAAATCAGGCAGGGCATTTCTAACACACCGGCCCATTTATTCCCATCGAGGTCCCCATACTACACACTTTTTTCCAAGAGGCCCTCATTATTAGCCAAATAATGATAATTCTGTCAAAACACCAAATTTAGACAGGCCCACATGGGCTAAAGGAAGATGGTAGAGCCCATCTGCCCTATGGTCAGTCCATTTCTGTCTCATGGACAATGGAGACCATACATACTAGAGCAGCTATATGATGGAGACATCTCTCTCTCTCTCTGTGTGTTGCTGAGAATGATAGGAGCCTGATGCCAGCTCAAAGCAATCCAGCTAGACTAGTTTCCAGTTTCCAGGAGAATAAAGTGAATATTTTAAAGCACATTTCAAACACAGAACTAATCTATGGAGAGCTGGAGTGTGTGCGTGTGTGCGTGTGTGTGCGTATGTGTGTGCATGCATGTATTCATGAGCAGTGTGGTTGTGTGAAAGCAGCTTTCTGATAGCCCTGGAAGAAGGACTAGAGATGGAGACACAAGGCCACTGGACTACAGCCCTGTTTATTAAGAAGGACTAAAGATGGAGACACAAGGCCACTGGACTACAGACCATCATTACTATTAGTCCTACCACTCTGCCTTTAGTCATCACCATCATTACTATTAGTCCTACCACTCAGCTTTTAGACATCACCATCATTCCTATTAGTCCTACCACTCAGCCTTTAGTCATCACCATCATTACTATTAGTCCTACCACTCAGCCTTTAGTCATCACCATCATTACTATTAGTCCTACCACTTGGCCTTTAGTCATCACCATCCTTACTATTAGTCCTACCACTCAGCCTTTAGTCATCACCGTCATTACTATTAGTCCTACCACTCAGCCTTTAGTCATCACCATCATTACTATTAGTCCTACCACTCAGCCTTTAGTCATCACCATCATTACTATTAGTCCTACCACTTGGCCTTTAGTCATCACCATCATTACTATTAGTCCTACCACTTGGCCTTTAGTCACCACCGTCATTACTATTAGTCCTACCACTTGGCCTTTAGTCATCATCATCATTACTATTAGTCCTACCACTCAGCCTTTAGTCACCACCGTCATTACAATTAGTCCTACCACTCAACCTTTAGTCACCACCGTCATTACTATTGGTCTTACCACTTGGCCTTTAGTCATCACCATAATTGCTATTAGTCCTACCACTCAGCATTTAGTCACCACCGTCATTGCTATTAGTCCTACCACTCAGCATTTAGTCATCACCATCATTACGATTAGTCATACCACTTGGCCTTTAGTCACCACCGTCATTACTATTAGTCATACCACTTTTTCTGTTGCATATGATCAACTATTGTTGTTTATCCAGTAAGAGTCCCAAATGGCACGCTATTCCCCATATGGTACACTACTTTTTACCTGAGCCTACATAGTTTTAGAGGCAAAACATAGTGTTTTAATAATGTCATTAAAACTAATTGTGCTCTATAAACTTCAAAGTTGGTGTTCCATTGCTCAGACCAGGGGGAGGATTATTGATCTGTTTTATAAAGTGGTAATTGGCTTCTCAAGGTGTGCAGGGGTGTCTAGTGTGTGTCTACGAAGGAGAACTTGGACATTAATATTAATTTTCTCTCTTATTTTTCTCCCTCTCACAACACACACACACACACACAACACACACACACACACAAATAATATATTTGGCTGCAGTCACTATAAAATGATTCAAAGGAAATGTAATTTAAAATTCTAATTCATTTGAAATTGGAGCCCTGTAAAGAGAGCGAGCCTTTGTCTGAAATGGCACCCTATTTATTCATCATAGGCCCTGGCAAAAAGCAGTGCACTAAATATGGAATATAGTGCCACTTCAGGTGTCCCTGGCTTATGAAGAGAGAGAGAGCATCAACTTCTACTGCTACAGGCACGCGGACAGTGCTTTCCTCCTGATCTGCAGCACGCGGACAGTGCTTTCCTCCTGATCTGCAGCACGCGGACAGTGCTTTCCTCCTGATCTGCATTGTATAAGCTACAGAATCACCAGGGCATCTGGTGCTGTAGTCTTAGCTGACTGACACATAGCCCTTCAGCTTGCGACACTCGGCGTCATCAATTTAGTCTCAAGAAGTAAACAGAATTCATTAATATTTAATACCCTAGCTGAAAATCTCTGCTCGCAGCATTCCATAGAAGAGGACGACGATGGATTGTTTTAAATGGGTAGCAGGGAGTACATGAAGAGCTGAAAGGCATCCTATCGGTCTCTCTTTCTCTCTCTCTCTACAGAACCTGAAGAACCGTCTGCTCCAGAGCACCTCATGAATTGTCTTGGTAATTCCAGTTATCCTGATATTATTCTGCTTCTTCTTAGGGTCTTTTCTGTTTTCCCGATGACTACCTTTGACTTCTCCGACGTGGAAGCGTTTTTGGACTGCCACCCGGACCTCTTTGAGGAGTATGTCGTGCGTAAAGGAAAATCCGATACAGTGAGCAGGTGGTTGAAGGACCAACAGCCGCCCAAAGTCTCCCTAGCCGAGGAAAAGCGTGGCGGAGTGGCCAGGGACCCCCTCTGGCCGACCAACACTGACGGTCTCCGGCGCCGCTCCTCCCACATGGAGCTCCGACGGAACTTCGCCCGGTCCAAAGCCACCACCACGCACAGAACCTACGACGAGCACGCCAGTCACAGGGAACACGATGATTCCCAGTCCAGCATGAGACGCCGCGCGCTGCTGCGCAAAGCTAGTTCCTTGCCGCCAACCACCGGGCACATTCTGAGCGCCCTTCTCGAATCCAGGGTCAATGTGCCCCAGTATGCTTCCAGTGCCATCGACTACAAATACAGACTGAAGGAGACCAACGAGAGGGAGTTCTTCCTTGAGTTGGTGAAAGATGTCTCCAATGACCTGGACATGACCAACCTGAGTTATAAGATCCTAATCAATGTGTGTATCCTGGTGGATGCGGATAGGTGCTCGCTGTTCCTAGTTGAGGGACCCTCTCACAAGAGAACGCTCGTGTCTAAGTTATTCGATGTGCACTCGGGCACCACGGTGCTACCCTCCTCGAGCACTCTGAACTCTAACGAGGTGCAGGTGCCGTGGGGAAAGGGCATCATCGGATACGTGGCAGAGCATGGGGAGACTGTAAACATACCCAATGCATATGAGGTAAACATTATCCATTTGGAAACATCAGGTTTCCTAAATTAGACCTATCACTGCAAACCCTAAATGCAAAATTCGAATATTTCATTTTTATTCAATGCTATTATTGGGATATAGAAACGAAATACCATTAAATTAAAAGTGTGTGAATCCTCTATGGATACAGTGCCTTCAGAAAGTATTCACACCCCTTGACTTTTTTCACATTTTGTTGTGTTACAAAGTGGGATTAAAATTGATTTAACTGTCTTTTTTTTGTCAACGATCTACAGAAAATACTCTGTAATGTCAAAGTGGAAGAAAAAATCTGAAACGGCATCCTATCAGTCTCTCTCTCTCTCTACATAACCTGAAGAACTGTCTGCTCCGGAGCACATCATGAATTGACTTGGTAACTCCAGTTATCCTGATATTCTTCTGATTATTTTTAAGGTCTTGAAAATTATAATTCCACTTTGACATTATGGGGTATTGTGTGTAGGCCAGTGACACAAATAATCTAAATGTAATCCGTTTTAAATGCAGGCTGTAACACCATTTTTTAGGGAAAAAGTCAAGGGGTGTGAATCAGGACACAGCTTTCATCCACACATCATCACCATGACAATTATTGTAGCAAAAATATTATGGGTAATTATTACAATTACATCAAAGAAAATACAGCCCATCCACCATCGTTTCCTCCATAGACAGGGATATGAAAACCATGGACATTTAATTCCCTGCAAGGCTGCAAGCTCCATCTCTCTCCGTCACTGGAGTCCCACCCACCAGTTGCGCGCGCTATACATCATTATATCCTGTCGATGGGCGCCTCGCGAGGCAAAGGCAACAAGTTGACGTCGGTCCGGCCTCGTGGGGTCTATTACTGCAATGAGTGCGCGTACATGTCAACTTAGAGACACTGTCGGGAACTAGGCTACTGGCGGGATCTAGGCAACCAGGAATAGAGCCGCCTCGTGTGATTTTGACAGATATTAAGCCCAGTCCTGGGACCCAGTGGACCAATTTATTTGACCTGTGTCCGTCCCAAATGGCACCATATTCCCTTCATAGTGCACTACTTTTGAAAAATATAGTGCAGGCCCTGGTTAAAAGTAGTGCACTAGATGGGCAGTAGGGCCTCATTTGGGATACAATTTTGGATTAATAGCAATAAGGTATACAGGTAACTGTCGAAATAAAGGAAACACTTGAGTAAATGAGGGATACAAGTATATTGAAACCAGGTGTGATAGCTGAGTTAATTAAGCAATTAACATCCCATAATGCTTAGGGTCATGTATAAAAATGCCCAGCTGCCCATTATTTTGGCTACCATGGCTAGAAGAAGAGATCTCAGTGACTTTGAAAGAGGGGTCTCAAAGGAGTATAGGGGGTTTTAAAGGGAGTGTGTGTGTGTGTGTGTGTGTATGTATGTGTGTGTGTCTGTCTGTCTGTCTCAGTCCGTCTCAGTCCCCAGATCTCAACCGAATTGAACACTTATGAGAGATTCTGGAGCGGCGCCTGAGACAGCGTTTTTCACCACCATCAACAAAACTCCAAATTATGGAATTGTCGTGGATGAATTTTAAAAAATTGAAATAATGTTGTATTGTCACATGCACCTGGATAGTTGCAGTGAAATGTGTTGTTTTACAGGGTCAGCCATAGTAGTACGGCGCCCCTGGAGCAAATGAGGGTTAAGTGCCTTGCTCAACAGCAAATCGACAGATTTTCCACCTTGTTGGCTTGGGTATTGGAACCAGCCACCTTTCGGTTACTGGCCCAACGCCCTCCAATAGAGTTCCAGACACTTGTAGAATCTATGCCAAGGCTCATTGAAGCTGTTCATGGCCCAAAACCCTATTAAGACACTTTATGTTGGTGTTTCCTATATTTTGGCAGTTACCTGTAGGTCTGTGGTGCACTGCACGCTGCACATGAGAACACCATTTAGCGCTTGCTGCGGTGCTGTAGGCTACTTTAACACAGTGTTTTGATCAATACTAACTAGGCTACAGTCATTCTCTAAAACCTCTAACCTCCATTCTCTAAAGAATGAATGATCTTTCCTCCCATCAAATCTATTCTGTTGGTTCAGGTTGATTTCTGAATTCAAAAACAATGTGTGCAAGTGTTATTAGTATGTGTGTGTGTACAGAATTTGTGACATTTCCTCTCCTATACGTCTCGTCCTGTAGGACCATCGGTTCAGTGATGAGATAGACAAGCTGACCGGCTATAAGACCCAGTCCATCCTGTGTATGACCATCTGTAACAGTGATGGAGAGGTCATAGGGGTTGTGCAGGCCATCAACAAGAACCCTATTGGAACACCTTTTACTGAGGACGATGAGAAGGTCAGAGTTCAAAATACTATTTGAAATAATTTCAAATACTTTAGCTGGGCTTGATTGGTAGTCGTAAAACTAAACTTCCTATACAATGAGAATTCATTATTGTCACTGACAGCATCTCCACTACCTCCACCAGAGGGAGATCAGTGTTATTGTCTCAGAACCAAGCTTTTTTGTTTTAGCTGGAAGATTATTATTTCACATACAGGACTATCAAATAAGAACTAACCCCAATACAAATGTTGCAGCTATAGGGCTTTCACTAATGTAGATATTTTGCACATATTGGTCCTGTGTAACCATGTCCTGTCAATTCGTTTTTTCTCTCTAAGTAGCCAGTTGATTTTTGTTGTGTTGTCCCAAATGGCACCCTATTCCCAACATGGTGCACTACTTTTGACCAGAACTCTATGGGCCCTGGTCAAAAGTAGTGCACTACATAGGGAATAGGGTGATTAAGGAATAGCGTGCCATTGGGATTAGCGATGGAGTCCTAATTAATTCCCACCAGGTGGCAGGATTTAGTTAAACAAGACCGTCAACTCTTTCAACACTTTATGCATTAGAAGTTCAAAAGAGTGATAGATACAGACTCATTTATATGAAGAAGTGCAATTCTTGGCAACCCCTTGTTATGCATGCTATTTGTGATGCATGCTATTTGCAAATCTGTTTGAACCTACTCTTTGTGGGAAATGGCAGCACATATCAAAGAGTTGGGTTGAGACATAGGTTTAGTGTGTGTTGGAAAATAGGTCTAGGTCTGCTGTCTTTGAATGGCCGACCGTCTGTTTAACAGAAAACCAATTAAAAAAGACTCAATCTTACTTATGTGACTGCTTGCTGTCTAGCACATTCAGAAGACCTACTTAATACATGAGTCATTCCTTTACTAAGTCAATACTCCATTAAGAGGAAAGCAACCAGGTGTGTTAATAGACGTTGAAGAAAAGAAGAACGCTATCAAGGGTAAACTAGCCACCTACACACACACACACATACACACACACACACACACACACACACACACACACACACACAGATAAACTAGATGGCCAAAGAAGTTTGTTCAATACCACTGATGGATTTTGTGGCTTGGCTGTTTTGAAGGAACACATTACAGTTGAGATCAGACTGCAACCACTGAATTATAGATGTTGTTTTTCCTTTTTATCATTTAGCCTCAGAACTATAACTATTTTTCTCTTCTCCTTTGCTTTCCCCCATCAGGTGCTGCAGATGTATCTACCGTTTTGCGGAATATCCATCTCCAATGCCAAGTTGTTTTCAGAGTCTCGGAAGGAGTATGAGAGGAGCAGAGTGAGTTGGCTCATACTCTCTTAGAAAAAAGGGTTTCAAAAGGGTTCTTCGGCTGTCCCCATAGGAGAACCCTTTTTGGTTCCAGGTAGAACCCTTTTGGGTTCCATGTAGAACTCTCTGTGGAAAGGGTTCTACATGGAACCAAAAAGGGATCTACCTTGAACCAAAAATGGTTATTTAAAGGGTTCTCCTATGGGGACAGCTGAAGAACCCTTTTAGGTTCTATATACAGTGCATTCGGAAAGTATTCAGACCCCTTCACTTCTTCCACATTTTGTTACGTTACAGCCTTATTCTAAAATTGATTAAAACGTTTTTTTCCCCCTCATCAATCTGCACACAATACCCCATAATGACAAAGCAAAAACGGAAATATCACATTTACATAAGTATTCAGACCCTTTACTCAGTACTTTGTTGAAGCACCTTTGGCAGTGATTACAGACTCAAATCTTCTTGGGTACGACGCTACAAGCTTGGCACACCTGTATTTGGGGAGTTTCTCCCATTCATCTCTGCAGATCCTCTCAAGCTCTGTCAGGATGAGATGGGAAGCTTCGCTGCACAGCTATTTTCAGGTCTCTCCAGAGATGTTTCATCGGGTTCAAGTCCGGGCTCTGGCTGGGCCACACAAGGACATTCAGAGACTTGTCCCGAAGCCACTCCTGCGTTGTCTTGGCTGTGTGCTTAGGGTTGTTGTCCTGTTGGAAGGTGAACCTTCACCCCAGTCTGAGGTCCTGAGTGCTCTGGAGCAGGTTTTCATCAAGGATCTCCCTGTACTTTGCTCCGTTAACCTTTCCCTCGATCTTGACTAGTCTCCCAGTCCCTGCCGCTGAAAAACATCCTCACATCATGATGCTGCCACCACCATGCTTCCCCGTAGGGATGGTATTGGCCAGGTGATGAGCGGTGCCTGTTTCCTCCAGACGTGACACTTGGCATTCAGGCCAAAGAGTTCAATCTTGGTTTCATCAGACCAGAGAATCTGGTTTCTCATAGTCTGAGAGTCCTTTAGGTGCCTTTTGGTAAACTCCAAGCGGGCTGTCATGTGCCTTTTACTGAGGAGTGGCTTCATTCTGGCCACTCTACCATAAAGGCCTGACTGGTGGAAAGCTGCAGAGATGGTTGTCCTTCTGGAAGGTTCTCCCATCTCCACAGAGGAACTTGGGAGCTCTGTCAGAGTGACCATCGGGTTCTTGGTCACCTCCCTGACCAAGGCCCTTCTCACTGATTGCTCAGTTTGGCCGGGCAGCAAGCTCTTGGAAAAGTCTTGGTGGTTCCAAAGTTCTTCCATTTAAGAATGATGGAGGCCACTGTGTTCTTGGAGACCTACAATGCTGCAGACATTTTTTGGTACACTTCCCCAGATCTGTGCCTCAACACAATCCTGTCTCGGAGCTCTACGGACAATTCCTTCGACCTCATGGCTTGGTTTTTGCTCTGACATGCACTGTAAACTGTGGGACCTTATATAGACAGGTATGTGCCTTTCCAAATCATGTCCAATCAATTGAATTTACCACAGGTGGACTACATTCAAGTTGTAGAAACATCTCAAGGATGATCAATGGAAACAGGATGCACCTGAGCTCAATTTCGAGTCTCATAGCAAAGGGTCTGAATACTTATGTAAATACTGTCTTTTAAGTTTTATAAATTTGCAAACATTTCTAAAACCCTGTTTTCGCTTTATCATTATGGGTTATAATGTGTAGATTGATGCAGATTTTTATTTAATTAATCAATTTTAGAATACAGCTGTAACGTAACAAAATGTGGAAAAGGTGAAGGGGTCTGAATACTTTCCGAATGCACTGGAGCACCTTTTTTTGTCTCTTACATAGTCTGTCTGTCTCTCACATAGTCTGTCTGTCTCTCACATAGCCTGTCTGTCTCTCACATAGTCTGTCTGTCTCTCACATAGCCTGTCTGTCTCTCACATAGTCTGTCTGTCTCTCACATAGTATGTCTGTCTCTCACATAGCCTTTATGTCTCTCACATAGCCTGTCTGTCTCTCACATAGTCTGTCTGTCGCTCACATAGTCTGTCTGTCTCTCCAATAGTCTGTCTGTCTCTCACATAGTCTGTCTGTCTCTCACATAGTCTGTCTGTCTCTCACATAGCCTGTCTGTCTTTCACATAGCCTCTCTGTCTCTCACATAGCCTGTCTGTCTCTCACATAGCCTGTCTGTCTCTCACATAGTCTGTCTGTCTCTCACATAGCCTGTCAGTCTCTCACATAGCCTCTCTTTCTCTCACATAGCCTGTCTGTCTCTCACATAGCCTGTATGTCTCTCACATAGCCTCTCTGTCTCTCACATAGCCTGTCTGTCTCTCACATAGTCTGTCTGTCTCTCACATAGCCTGTCTGTCTCTCACATAGCCTCTCTGTCTCTCACATAGCCTGTCTGTCTCTCACATAGCCTGTATGTCTCTCAACGATAGGAGCAGAAAGAGTGGGCTCACATAGCCAGTCACTACACCGTTCTCCAGATACTCTCTCTCTCAATTTCTTAGACAAATAGAGAGAGTGGTCAGTGTTGTTGTTGTGCTCCCCCAGGCTCTGCTAGAGGTGGTGAATGACCTGTTTGAGGAGCAGACAGACCTGGAGAAGATAGTGAGGAAGATCATGCAGAGAGCTGTGACCCTGCTGCAGTGTGAACGCTGCTCTGTGTTGCTGCTGGAGGACATACACTCACCTGTGAGACTGACCTCTCCCCTCTTCTCCTCTGCCTCCTTCTCCCGGCTCCTCTCACCTCCTCTCCTCTGCTTCCTTCTCCCGGCTCCTCTCACCTCCTCTCCTCTGCTTCCTTCTCCCGGCTCCTCTCACCTCCTCTCCTCTGCTAAACAATACACTCACCTGTCAACAATAGACCTCATCTCCTCCTCTATTTTCCTCATTTCTCCTTCCTTCTGTTTTCCCTCCAATTCTTCCCTCTCCAACATCCTCCCTTTCCAATTCTTCCCTCACCAATTCTTCCCTCAACAATTCTTCCCTCTCCAATTCTTCCCTTTCCAATTCTATGTCTTTTATGTAGGTGGTAAAGTTCTCTAAGACCTTTGAGCTCATGTCTCCCCTGTGTAACATGGACCGTGACATCAGGTGAAGTCCTCGCTGCTTGGGACAAGATATTTTAATAGTTATACATACAGTTGAAGTCGGAAGTTTACATACACCTTAGCCAAATACATTTAAACTTAGTTTTTCACAATTCCTGACATTTAATCCTAGTAAAAATTAGGACAGTTAGGATCACCACTTTATTTTAAGAATGTGAAATGTCAGAATAATAGTATAGAGAATTATTTATTTAAGCTTTTATTTCTTTCATCACATTCATCAGAAGTTTACACTCATTTAGTATTTGGTAGCATTGCCTTTAAATTGTTTAACTTGGGTCAAACGTTTCGGGTAGCCTTCCACAAGCTTCCCACAATAAATTGGGTGAATTTTGGCCCATTCCTCCTGACAGAGCTGGTGTAACTGAGTCAGGTTTGTAGGCGTCCTTGCTCGCACACGCTTTTTCAGTTCTGCCCACAAATGTTCTATTGGATTGAGGTCAGGGCTTTGTGATGGCCACTCCAATACCTTGACTTTGTTGTCCTTAAGCCATTTTGCCACAACTTTGGAAGTATTCTTGGGGTCATTGTCCATTTGGAAGACCCATTTGCGACCAAGCTTTAACTTCCTGACTGATGTCTTGAGATGTTGCTTCAATATATCCACATCCTTTTCGTTCCTCATGATGCCATCTATTTTGTGAAATGCACCAGTCCCTCCTGCAGCAAAGCACCCCCACAGCATGATGCTGCCACCCCAGTGCTTCACGGTTGGGATGGTGATCTTTGTCTTGCAATGAACCCCCTTTTTCCTCCAAACATAACGATGGTCATTATGGCCAAACAGTTATATTTTTGTTTCATCAGACCAGAGGACATTTCTCCAAAAAGTACGATCTTTGTCCCCATGTGCAGTTGCAAACCGTAGTCTGGCTTTTTTATGGCGGTTTTGGAGCAGTGGCTTCTTCCTTGCTGAGCGGCCTTTCAGGTTATGTCGATATAGGACTCGTTTTACTGTGGATATAGATACTTTTGTACATGTTTCCTCCAGCATCTTCACAAGGTACTTTGCTGTTGTTCTGGGATTGATTTGCACTTTTTCGCACCAAAGTACGTTCATCTCTAGGAGACAGAACGCGTCTCCTTCCTGAGCGGTATGACGGCTGCGTGGTCCCATGGTGTTTATACTTGCGTACTATTGTTTGTACAGATGAACGTGGTACCTTCAGGCGTTTGGAAATTGCTCCCAAGGATGAACCAGACTTGTGGAGGTCTACAATTCTTTTCTGAGGTCTTGGTTGATTTCTTTTGATTTTCCCATGATGTCAAGCAAAGAGGCACTGAGTTTGAAGGTAGGCCTTGAATACATCCACAGGTACACCTCCAATTGATTCAAATTATGTTAATTAGCCTATCAGAAGCTTCTAAAGCCATGACATCATTTTCTGGAATTTTCCAAGCTGTTTAAAGGCACAGTCAACTTAGTGTATGTAAACTTCTGACCCACTGGAATTGTGATACAGTGAATTATAAGTGAAATAATCTGTCTGTAAACAATTGTTGGAAAAATTACTTGTGTCATGCACAAAGTAAATGTCCTAACCGACTTGCCAAAACTATAGTTTGTTAACAAGAATGTGTGGAGTGGTTGAAAAACGAGTTTTAATGACTCCAACCTAAGTGCATGTAAACATCCGACTTCAATTGTAACAATTGATAGGAAAGACTGACATCTGCCTGTAACCCCAATCCATGTATTTAGCATTTCTTGAGAGTGTGTGTCTCTTTGACAAAGTCAGCATGGAGAAGCTGTCCTGCTCTGATTGGCTGATCAATAACAGCATTGCTGAACTGGTGGCGTCCACAGGACTGCCTGTCAACATCAGTGACGTCTGTCAGGACCCCCGCTTCGATGCTGAGGTGTGGCACCAATCACTCACAATCACACACCCACACGGACACACACACACACACACTTTTGGACACACACGTTCGCACACACACACGCAGGCACGCACGTACAGACGTAGGATCTTAATTTGAGCCAGTTTGCTACAGCAGGAAAATAATCCTGAAGAAACAGGAAATGTGAATTATTATGTGGATTATAATTAATGGAAATGTTTTGTAGGGGTTGATACATTTTTAGTTCCTGACAATCCTGAAATGTTAAAGTGGAAATTACAAACTTTAAAAGCTTTTTAAAAACTTGAATACACTACAGGTTTGCATTTCCTTCTGTGCAGGAACATTCTCAGCAACAAAAGAGTGACTCAATTAAGACCCTACATCTGTATGCGCACACGCACACACACGCACATACATGCACATACACGCACACCCACCACACACCACACACACACCACACACACTCAGATGCGTGGGCGTGCACACACAGTAACATTCCACTCCGTACTCCCCAGGCAGATCAAGCCTCAGGATTCCACATCAGATCAGTACTGTGTGTCCCCATCTGGAACCGGACTCATCAGATAATAGGTGGGTTCACCAGTCTGTTCACCAATCCACTGTCACTTGAAAACCACTCTGTCTTTTTACCTTTCTACTATTCCACCCATTCAATTATCATTAACAAATATTGATGTATTTTCTGCACTGTTCTAAGGGGTTGCCCAGATTCTAAATCGCCTGGACAGGAGGACATTCAATGATGCAGATCAAAGACTGTTTGAGGTGATGACTGAGGGTCTATCTATATCTATATTTATATCTAGATCTGTGTTACAGTAGATATTAGAGACCTGCCCTCTCGACTGAGGGTCTATCTATAGCTATATCTGTATTACAGTAGATATTAGAAACTTGCCCTCTAGACTGAGGGTCTATCTATATCTGTATTACAGTAGATATTAGAAACCTGCTCTCTCGACTGAGGTTCTATCTATAGCTATATCTGTATTACAGTAGATATTATAAACCTGTTTTATTGTTAGAACATTGTTCTACCCTGTGTCTCCACACAGGCGTTTGTCATATTCTGTGGGCTGGGAATCAACAACACCATGATGTACAACCAAGTGAAGAAGACCTGGGCCAAGCAGTCTGTGGCCCTGGATGTGAGCATTGATAGGTTGCGTCCCAAATGGTCAAAAGTAGCGCAATATAAAGGGCATAGGGTGCCATTTGGGACTGACCCGTGTATTCTTCTCCCCTCACTCTCTAGGCGTTTAGGATTATTTTTTTTATGTGTCTTTCCTAAACAAACACTCGCACTTGACTTTCCCCCCTACTAGCACTGACTTTACTGATAGCTACTAGCACTGACTTTACTGATAGTTACTAGCACTGACTTTACTGATAGTTACTAGCACTGACTTTACTGATAGCTACTAGCACTGACTTTACTGATAGCTACTAGCACTGACTTCACTGATAGCTACTAGACTTTACTGATAGTTACTAGCACTGACTTTACTGATAGCTACTAGCACTGACTTTACTGATAGCTACTAGCACTGACTTTACCGATAGCTACTAGCACTGACTTTACTGATAGCTACTAGCACTGACTTTACCGATAGCTACTAGCACTGACGTTACTGATAGCTACTAGCACTAACTTTACTGATAGCTACTAGCACTGACTTTACTGATAACTACTAGCACTGACTTTACTGATAGCTACTAGCACTGACTTTACTGATAGCTACTAGCACTGACTTTACTGATAGCTACTAGCTCTGACTTTACTGATAGTTACTAGCACTGACTTTACTGATAGTTACTAGCACTGACTTTACTGATAGCTACTAACACTGACTTTACTGATAGTTACTAGCACTGACTTTACTGATAGCTACTAGCACTGACTTTACCAATAGCTACTAGCACTGACTTTACTGATAGCTACTAGCTCTGACTGTACTGATAGCTACTAGCACTGACTTTACTGATAGCTACTAGCTCTGACTTTACTGATAGTTACTAGCACTGACTTTACTGATAGTTACTAGCACTGACTTTACTGATAGCTACTAGCACTAACTTTACTGATAGTTACTAGCACTGACTTTACTGATAGTTACTAGCACTGACTTTACTGATAGTTACCAGCACTGACTTTACTGATAGCTACTAGCACTAACTTTACTGATAGTTACTAGCACTGACTTTACTGATAGTTACTATCACTGACTTTACTGATAGCTACTAGCACTGACTTTACTGATAGTTACTAGCTCTGACTTTACTGATAGTTACAGGCACTGACTTTACTGATAGCTACTAGCTCTGACTTTACTGATAGTTACTAGCATTGACTTTACTGATAGTTACTAGCACTGACTTTACTGATAGCTACTAGCACTGACTTTACTGATAGCTACTAGCACTGACTTTACTGATAGCTACTAGCACTGACTTTACTGATAGCTACTAGCACTGACTTTACTGATAACTACTAGCACTGACTTTACTGATAGCTACTAGCACTGACTTTACTGATAGTTACTTTCACTGACTTTACTGATAGTTACCAGCACTGACTTTACTGATAGCTACTAGCTCTGACTTTACTGATAGCTACTAGTACTGACTTTACTGATAGCTACTAGCACATACTTTACTGATAGCTACTAGCTCTGACTTTACTGATAGTTACTAGCACGGACTTTACTGATAGTTACTAGCACTGACTTTACTGATAGCTACTAACACTGACTTTACTGATAGTTACTAGCACTGACTTTACTGATAGCTACTAGCACTGACTTTACTGATAGCTACAAGCTCTGACTTTACTGATAGTTACTAGCATTGACTTTACTGATAGTTACTAGCACTGACTTTACTGATAGCTACTAGCACTAACTTTACTGATAGTTACTAGCACTGACTTTACAGATAATTAATATCACTGACTTTACTGATAGCTACTAGCACTGACTTTACTGATAGTTACTAGCTCTGACTTTACTGATAGTTACTGGCACTGACTTTACTGATTGCTACTAGCACTGACTTTACTGATAGCTACTATCACTGACTTTACTGATAGCTACTAGCTCTGACTTTACCGATAGCTACTAACACTGATTTTACTGATAGATACTAGCACTGACTTTACTGATAGTTACTAGCACTGACTTTACTGATAGTTACTAGCTCTGACTTTACTGATAGCTACTAGCTCTGACTTTACTGATAGTTGCTAGCACTGACTTTACTGATAGTTACTAGCACTGACTTTGCTGATAATTACGTTATTGAGGAAAATGTACTTACTATGACTGAGATATGTGGTTGTCCCACCTAGATATCTTAAGATGATTGCACTAACTGTAAGTCGCTGCACTAACTCTAAGTCGCTCTGGAAGACAGCGTCTGGTAAATGACTAAAATGTAAATGTTAGCTAGCTATATGATTTTAGAGTCTAGTTGTTGGGCTTTGGGCTCCACTGTCTGTCTGTCTGTCTGTTTGTCTGAATGTATGGTCCTCAGAGTGCTTTATGAAACAGTGGAGGTAATGTGGTTAAACCGCATATCAGACTTGATGACAGGCGATATACCAGTATAGTTTTACTCCTGACATTTTTTGCAGTGTGCAATCGTTTTGTGACAGCATCTCCTCTTTGGAAATACTGAAAATAACTGAAATATTTATGGTGGGAGAGCAGAACCCTGTGTGCTGAATATAAATGTGAATGATCGGCTCGGGCAGTAGAGGATCATACTGTAAAATGCAGTCATGAGTAGTGTGAAGAAGACAATATTGAGTCTGTGGCTGCATCCCCAATGGCATCCTATTCCCTATATAGTGCATTACTTTGCGCCAGAGCCCATATCATCATGCATGTCCCACACTCACCTGCAGGGGGCCAGAGAGGTTCATGAGCAGAGAGAGAGAGAGAGAGAGAGAGAGAGAGAGAGAGAGAGAGAGAGAGAGAGAAGAGAGAGAGAGGAGAGAGAGAGAGAGAGAGAGAGAGAGAGAGAGAGAGAGAGAGAGAGAGAGAGAGAGAGGGAGATTGGAGAGGACCATGAGATCAATGATGATGTTTTCTCCTCCCTCAGATGCTGTCCTATCACGCCACATGCTCCAAGGTAGAGGTGGACAGACTCAAGGTATGTCTGAGAGTTACATTACATGTAGAAGAAATAGGAAAATAACCACTACAAAACTACAAGATAGTAATCGAAACAGGTGTCCATGTAGAACTCACCTAGTTACTTGCCCAGGGGTGTATTCAATAGGAACCACAGTTCACCTACTAGGACGCTCAATATTCACCCTCACGTTCTACTCACTCAGGCTGCTAAGATCCCTCTGAGCAGTGAGCTGGGTATCGAAGAGTTCCACTTCAACGACTTCTCATTGGACAACGATGCCATGATCACTGCCTCCCTCCGGATGTTTCTGGAACTCGGAGCCGTCCAGAAGTTTAAGATTGACTATGACGTGAGTGAGGTCAACAATGAGGTCAACAATGAGGTCAACAATGAGGGATAATGGAGAGGCTTTCATATTTCTCTCCAGGGTTGGAAAATTCCAGCAACTTTTCCAAAATCCCTAGGCTTTCCAGAAATCCTGGTTGGAGTATAGTAGAGTTCCTGGTTATTCTGTCCTGATTCCAGGAATCTTCCAACTGGGGTTTCTGTAAATCTTGGGAATTTTGGGAGTACCGAAATTTTGCAACCCTATTTATCTTATTTTTGAATAACTCTCTTGGTGACATCTTACAGTAACACCTGATATGAGAACAACAGCAAAACAAACATTGATTCCTTATGATTGTCCCTCCTCCCTCTCAGGTCCTGTGTCGCTGGCTGTTGACGGTGAGGAAGAACTATCGCACGGTGGCATACCATAACTGGAGGCATGCCTTCAACGTGTGCCAGTGCATGTTCGTCATGATCACAGTGAGTCAACACAATGAAAAATGCTCTATGTACACACTTAGAAAATAGGGTTCCTCAAGGGTTCTTTGGTAAGGTTGATGGTTCTATGTGGAACCGAACCTTAATGACTCAAAGATCCTGTTGAGCCCTTCAATGGTTCATTGCAGTTCAGGAAAGGGTTCTTTCATCTTTTAGTGATAATAGAAATGTAGGGGCGTGGTTTGCTCAAAGCTCTTTTTGTGTAACCGTGAGTGAGGGTGTCATTCCAGTTTATCTAATCTGTTGTGTTATATCATTACATGTCAAATTTGACTATGGCCAGTAACAGTGTCTTGCAAAAGACTCACGTAAGGCCTTGTGTCAATTGAGAACTGTTGACTAAGTCAGACGATCTCAATTCTCTCCTCAGGGACCCCCAGCTGTTCCAGAGCTAGCACACCTGATTCATCTTGTGAATTAACACTGACTAACCAGAATATAACACCATGTATGGCTCTTCAAAAGGTTCTTTGTAGAACCTTTGAGATTGAGAATGGTTCTATAAAGAACCTTTCTCCATAAAGGTTCTATAAAGAACCATTAAAAAGCGTTCTCAATAGCACCAAAAATTGTTGTAAGCATAGCGGAACCCTTTTTGGTGCTACATATAACCTTATTTTAATGGTTCTTTGTAGAACCTTAGGAAAGGGTTATAGCACCATAAAGATTCAATTTAAAACCTTATGAACATGGTTCTTTATAGAACATTCAAAAAAGGGTTCTACACTGCCTTCATCAAGTATTCACACCCCTTGACTTTTTCCACATTTTGTTGTGTTACAGCCTGAATTTAAAATTGATTAAATTAAGATTTTGTGTCACTTGCCTACACACAATACCCCATAATGTCAAAGTGGAGTTATGTTTTTTGAAACTTTTAGAAATTAATAAAACATTGAAGGCTGAAATGTCTTGAGTCAATAAGTATTCAACCCCTTTGTTATGGCAAGCCTAAATAAGTTCAGGAGTAAAAATGTGCTTAACAAGTCACATAATAAGTTGCATGGACTCACTCTGTGTGCAATACTAGTGTTTAACATGATTTTTTAATGACTACCTCATCTCTGTACCCCACACATATAATTATCTTTAAGGTCCCTCAGTCGAGCAGTGAATTTCAAACACAGATTCAGCCACAAAGACCAGGGAGGTTTTCCAATGCCTCGCAAAGGGCACCTATTAGTAGATGGGTAAAAAAAAAGAAGACATTGAATATCCCTTTGAGCATGGTGAAGTTATTAATTACACTTTGGATGGTGTCTCAATACACCCAGTCACTACAAAGATACATGCATTCTTCCTAACTCAATTGCCGGAGAGGAAGGAAACCGCTCAGGGATTTCACCATGAGGCCAATGGGGACTTTACAGAGTTTAAAGGCTCCACAATACTAACCTAAATGGCAGAGTGAAAAGAAGGAATCCTGTACAGAATAAAACATATTCCAAAACATGCACCCTGTTTGCAATAATGCACTAAAGTAAAACTGCAAAAAATGTGGCATGAACTTTATGTCCTGAATACGAAGCGTTATGTTTGGGGGCAAATCCAACACAACACATCACTGAGTACCACTGACATCCAATCAATTATTATTATTAATTATCCATAAAGTTCATATTTTCAAGCATGGTGGTGGCTGCATCATGTTATGGGTATACTTGTCATCGGCAAGGACTAGGTAGTTTTTTAGGATAAAAACAAACGGAATAGAGCTAAGCACAGGCAAAATCCTAGAGGAAAACCTGGTTCAGTCTGCTTTCCAACAGACACTGGGAATCAAATTCACCTTTGAGCAGGACAATAACCTAAAACACTATGTCAAATATACACTAGAATTGCTTACCAATACGACATTGAATGTTCCTGAGTGGCCTAACTTTTGACTTAAATTGGCTTGAAAAACTATGGCAAGACTTGAAAATGGCTGTCTAGCAATGATCAACAACCAGCTTGACAGAGCTTGAATAATTTAAAAAAGAATAATGTGCAAATATTGTACAATCCAGGTTTGCAAAGCTCTTAGAGACTTACCCAGAAAGACTCACAGCTGTAATCGCTGCCAAAGGTGTTTCTAACATGTATTGACTCAGCAGTGTGAATACTACAGTATTTCTGTATTTCATTTTCAATACATTTGAGAGAAAAAAATTCATAAAAACATGTTTCCACTTTGTTACTTGTGTGTAGCCTTAAATGTTTTATTAATTTGTAAAAGTTTCAAAAAACATAATTCCACTTTTACATTATGGGGTATTGTGTGTAGGCAAGTGACACAAAATCTCAATTTAATCAATTTTGAATTCAGGCTGTAACACAACAAAATGTGGAATAAGTCAAGGGGTATGAATACTTTCCGAAGGCACCAAAAAGGGGTCTGGTATGGTTGCAAGCCAAATAACCCTTATTTGGCCCTATATAAAAAAAAGAAATGGTGTATTGTATAATGAAACTGTTTTGTTCACATTGTTCCTCAATTTGTTTCTTCACTAAGCCGATTAAAGTAAAAGTTAACCAATTAAAGGAGTCAATGGTTCTGTCCCAAATTACCTATTTTTTGCACCACTTTTGACAAGGGATGGGACAAAAGTAGACTAAGTGGTACTACTTTTTCCACATTTTGTTATGTTACAGCCTTATTCTAAAATGGATTCAATTGTTTTTCCCCCCTCATCAATCTACACACAATACCCAATAATGACAAAGCAAAAACTGTTTTTTCTTTCAATTTTAGCAAATGTATAAAAAAAATTAAAAAACAGCAATATCATATTTACATAAATATTCAAACCCTTTACTCAGTACTTTGTTGAAGCACCTTTGGCAGCGATTACAGCCTCGAGTCTTCTTGGGTATGACGCTACAAGCTTGGCACACCTGTTTTTGGTGAGTTTCTCCCATTCTTCTCTGTAGATCCTCTCAAGCTCTGTCAGGTTGGATGCACAGCTATTTTCAGGTCTCTCCAGAGATGTTCAATCGGGTTCGTCTGGGCTCTGGCTGGGCCACTCAAGGATATTCAGAGACTTGTCCCGAATCCACTCCTGCATTATCTTGGCTGTGTGCTTAGGGTCGTTGTCCTGTTGGAAGGTGAACCTTCACCCCAGTCTGAGGTCCTGAGCACTCTGGAGCAGGTTTTCATCAAGGATCTCTCTGTACTTTGCTCCGTTAATCTTTCCCTCAATCCTGACTAGTCTCCCAGTCCCTGCCACTGAAAAACATCCCCACAGCATGATGCTGCCACCACCATGCTTCACCGTAGGGATGGTGCCAGGTTTCCTCCAGACGTGACGCTTGGCATTCAGGCCAAAGAGTTCAATCTTGGTTTCATCAGACCAGAGAATCTTGTTTCTCATGGTCTGACAGCCTTTTGGCAAACTCCAAGCGGGCTGTCATGTGCCTTTTACTGAGGAGTGGCTTCCGTCTGGCCACTCTACCATAAAGGTCTGATTGGTGGAGTGCTGCAGAGATGGTTGTCCTTCTGGAAGATTCTCCAATCTCCACAGAGGAACCTTAGAGCTCTGTCAGAGTGACCATCGGGTTCTTGGTCACCTCCCTGACCAAGGCCCTTCTCCCCCGATTGCTCAGTTTGGCCGGGCGGCCAGCTTTAGGAAGAGTCTTGGAAGAGTCTTGGTGGTTCTGAACTTCTTCCATTTAAGAATGATGGAGGCCACTGTGTTCTTGGGGACCTTCAATGCTGCATAAATGTTTTGATACACTCCCCAGATCTGTGCCTCAACACAATCCTGTATCGGAGCTCTACGGCCAATTCCTTCGACCTCGGCTTGGTTTTTGCTCTGACATGCACTGTGGGACCTTATATCTGTGGGACCTTATATAGACAGGTGTGTGCCTTTCCAAATATTGTCCAATCAATTTAATTTACCACAGATGGACTCCAATCAAGTTTTAGAAACATCTCAAGGATGGTCAATGGAAACAGGATGCACCTGAGCTCAATTTCGAGTCTCATAGCAAAGGGTCTGAATACTTATGTAAATAAGGTATATCTGTTTTTTATTTTTAATAAATATGCAAGAATTTCTACAAACCTGTTATTGTTTTGTCATTAGGGGTATTGTGTGATTAAATGAGGATTTATTTTATTTATCCATTTAGAATAATTCGGAACATAACAAAATCTGGAAAAAGGGAGGGTCGAAGATTTTGCCATTGGGGGCCCACAACGCGGTTCCATATTTCCATACCTCCATACTTCCATACCTCTGTGTCCGCAGACGGTGGTTTCACCCATACTTCCATACCTCTGTGTCCGCAGACGGTGGTTTCCATACCTCCATATTTCCCATAACCTCTGGTGTCCGCAGACGGCTGGTTTCCATACCTCATCTTCCATACCTCGTGTCCGCAGGAGGCTGGTTCCCAAAACTCCATCTTCCATACCTTGTGTCGCAAGAGGCTGGTTTCATAACTCCATACTCCATACCCTGTGTCCGCAGAAGGGCTGGTTTTCCATACCTCCATACTTCACATACCTTGTGTCCGAGACGGGCTGGTTTCCTACCTCCATACTTCCATACCTCTGGTGTCGCAGACGGCTGGTTTCCATACCTCCATACTTCCATACCTCTGTGTCCGCAGACGGCTGGTTTCCATACCTCCATACTTCCATACCTCTGTGTCCGCAGACGGCTGGTTTCCATACCTCCATACTTCCATACCTCTGTGTCCGCAGACGGCTGGTTTCCATACCTCCATACTTCCATACCTCTGTGTCCGCAGACGGCTGGTTTCCATACCTCCATACTCCATACCTCTGTGTCCGCAGACGGCTGGTTTCCATACCTCCATACTTCCATACCTCTGTGTCCGCAGACGGCTGGTTTCCATACCTCCATACTTCCATACCTCTGTGTCCGCAGACGGCTGGTTTCCATACCTCCATACTTCCATACCTCTGTGTCCGCAGACGGCTGGTTTCCAGGATGTTCTGTCGGATGCGGAGACCCTGGCATTGATGGTGGGTTGTCTCTGCCATGACTTAGACCACCGTGGCACCAACAACGCCTTCCAGGCCAAGTGAGTCACCTCGGCTGAGCCCCACAGAGAAATGTAAAAAAAAAAAAATATTAGTCTGATCAACCAGTCAGTCAGTGAGTCAATCTATCTGCACGTCCACCTGCCTGTCCGTCCATCTCTCTGTTATTCAATCAATCAATTAGTGCAATCAGTTGACCGTCCCTCTGCTGCTTCCTACAGGACTGGCTCTGCTCTGGCCCTGCTCTACGGGACATCAGCCACCCTGGAACACCATCACTTCAACCATGCAGTCATGATCCTACAGAGTGAGGTGACCTTGGCTACCATCACCTTTACTTAAGAGCTTCCATTTATTGCTCAATCTTGACATTCACCACCCATTTATTACCTGAAAATATGTATTTTTCTCATGTTTTCCAACAGGGTCATAATATCTTTGCCAACCTGTGTTCCAAAGAGTACAGTAGTATGATGCAGCTGCTGAAACAAGCCATCCTCTCTACTGACCTCACCCTGCACTTCCAGTAAGTCTTCCAACTTCCACATACAGTTGTAGAAGAGATACTTGATTTTTATATCTTTAATAATCACTACTAGCCTGGTCCCAGATCTGTTTGTGCTCTTGCCAACTCCATTGCTCATTGTCAAGCCAAATTGGCATGATAATGAGTGACAAGTAGCTGACATGATAGCACAAACAGGCCGGCACTCAGGCTACCTCCCATCTGCTTGCCATTGAACCCCCCTCCTTTTCCTTGTATCTGTTTTGTGACTCTATCTATGCTCCTAAACAGGCGGAGGAGCAAGTTCTTTGACTGTGTTCTGTCTGGAGAGTTCAGCTGGACAGACGAGTCTCACAGAGAACTTCTCAGGTCCTTCCATCTTTATTACTTATTTATTGAACAAATTGTCAACAATCTCCTTATGTGGAGACTTGTTTTGGTTCTAAACAACCCCTGACCCCTTTCTTCACCAGGTCTATGCTGATGACAGCATGTGACTTGGGTGCAGTGACTCGCCCCTGGGAGATCTCCAAACAGGTGAAACTTTACAAAACTTCTGGCTGTGTCCCAAATGGCACCCTAATCCCTTTATAGTGTACTCGTTTTGACCAGGGCCTATAGGGTCATCATTGACATCATTGACATAACGTTGAAATCCCCCTGCAGGTTGCGGAGTTGGTGACCAGTGAGTTTTTCGAGCAAGGTGACAGGGAGAGGTCTGAGCTCAAGTTGACTCCAGCGGTAAGCAGTACACAGTACTATTGTAACACTTCCCTTCAAACTATACTTCCCTTCACACTACACTTCCCTTCAAACTACACTTCCCTTCAAACCATACTTCCCTTCAAACTACACTTCCCTTCAAACTACACTTCCCTTCAAACTACACTTCATTTTAAACTTCACTTCCCTTCCAACTACACCTCCCTTCAAAATAAACTTCCCTTCAAAGTCAGATCATCAACTTTGATATTAGTGCTCCATCCACTACTACCTTGATTCACTTGTGTCCAAACACCATCAATGCAACTTTCGCCTGCACAGCATTTAGGAAGTAAACTTTTATATTTCGTTCTGCTGATTCTCAGTATCTTTCTATCCCCTTTGGGTTCCCAAAAGTTAGCCTTGATGTGGGGAGTTCTTTCTTTTGATATTCAACTGTTGGGATGAAATGACTAAAGCTAGTTAAGTGATTAGGAGTGCCTTTCATGTGGAGGAAGACGAGAAAGCAAGGAGTGAGGGCGGAGTCTCCTACTCTCTAAGCTCTCGTCGCAGCTCTCGAGGAGCTCTGCTGCGCGCCTCGCTCTCTCTCTCTCTCTCTCTCTACTCGTCCTCGCTCTCTCTCTCGCTCTCTCTCTCTCCTCTCTCTCTCTCTCTCTCCTCTCTCTCTCTCTCTCTCTCTCCTCTCTCTCTCTCTCTCTCTCTCTCAATCTCCTATTTCAATTTCAAGGGCTCTTATTTGGCATGGGAAACGTATGTTAACATTGCCAAAGCAAGTGAAGTAGATAGTAAAACAAAAGTGAAATAAACAATAAATATTAACCAGTGAAACATTACACTCAGAAGTTTCAAAGAATAAAGACATTTCAAATGTCATATTATGTATATATACAGTGTTGTAACAATTGTGCAAATAGTTAAAGTACAAATGGGAAAATAAATAAACATAACTATGGGTTTGTATTTACAATGGTGTTTGTTCTTCACTGGTTGCCCTTTTTCTGTGGCAACAGGTCACAAAATCTTGCAGCTGTGATGGCACACTGTGGTTTTTCACCCAGTAGATAAGGGAGTTTATCAAAATTGGGTTTGTTTTCAAATTCTTTGTGGATCGCTGTAATCTGAGGGAAATATGTGTCTCTAATATGGTCATACATTTGGCAGGAGGTTAGGAAGTGCAGCTCAGTTTCCACCTCATTTTGTGGGCAGTGTGCACATAGCCTGTCTTCTCTTGAGAGCCAGGTCTGCCTACGGCGGCCTTTCTCAATAGCAAGGCTATGCTCACTGAGTCTGTACATAGTCAAAGCTTTCCTTAAGTTTGGGTCAGTCACAGTGGTCAGGTATTCTGCCACTGTGTACTCTCTGTTTAGGGCCAAATAGCATTCTAGTTTGCTCTGTTTTTTTGTTTGTTCTTTCCAATGTGTCAAGTAATTCTCTTTTTGTTTTCTCATGATTTGGTTGGGTCTAATTGTGTTGTTGTTGTTGTTGTTGTCCTGGGGCTGTGTGGGGTCTGTTTGTGTTTGTGAACAGAGCCCCAGGGCAAGCTTACTTAGGGGACTCTTCTCCAAGTTCATCTCTCTGTAGGTGATGGCTTTGTTATGGAAGGTTTGGGAATCGCTTCCTTTTAAGTGGTTATAGAATTTAACGGCTCTTTTCTGGATTTTGATAATTAGCGGGTATTGGCCTAATTCTGCTCTGCATGCATTATTTGGTGTTTTACGTTGTACACGGAGGATGTTTTTGCAGAATTCTGCATGCAGAGTCTCAATTTGGTGTTTGTCCCATTTTGTGAATTCTTGGTTGGTGAGCGGACCCCAGACCTCAGAACCATAAAGGGCAATGGGTTCTATAACTGATTCAAGTATTTTTAGCCAGATCCTAATTGGTATGTCAAATTTTATGTTCCTTTTGATGGCATAGAAGGCCCTTCTTGCCTTGTCTCTCAGATCGTTCACAGCTTTGTGGAAGTTACCTGTGGCGCTGATGTTTAGGCCGAGGTATGTATAGTTTTTTGTGTGCTCTAGGGCAACGGTGTCTAGATGGAATTTGTATTTGTGGTCCTGGCAACTGGACCTTTTTTGGAACACCATTATTTTTGTCTTACTGAGATTTACTGTCAGGGCCCAGGTCTGACAGAATCTGTGCAGAAGATCTAGGTGCTGCTGTAGGCCCTCCTTGGTTGGTGACAGAAGCACCAGATCATCAGCAAACAGAAGACATTTGACTTCAGATTCTAGTAGGGTGAGGCCGGGTGCTGCAGACTGTTCTAGTGCCCTCGCCAATTCGTTGATATATATGTTGAAGAGGGTGGGGCTTAAACTGAATCCCTGTCTCACCCCACGGCCCTGTGGAAAGAAATGTGTGTGTTTTTTGCCAATTTTAACCGCACACTTGTTGTTTGTGTACATGGATTTTATAATGTCGTATGTTTTTCCCCCAACCCCACTTTCCATCAATTTGTATAGCAGACCCTCATGCCAAATTGAGTCAAAAGCTTTTTTGAAATCAACAAAGCATGAGAAGACTTTGCCTTTGTTTTGGTTTGTTTGTTTGTCAATTAGGGTGTGCAGGGTGAATACGTGGTCTGTCGTACGGTAATTTGGTAAAAAGCCAATTTGACATTTGCTCATTACATTGTTTTCACTGAGGAAATGAACTAGTCTGCTGTTAATGATAATGCTGAGGATTTTCCCAAGGTTACTGTTGACGCATATCCCACGGTAATTATTGGGGATATATAATTATTATCAGTCCTTGGTTCCAAATATTGGGGAAGATGCCAGAGCTAAGGATGATGTTAAAGAGTTTAAGTATAGCTAATTGAAATTTGTGGTCTGTATATTTTATCATTTCATTGAGGATACCATCAACACCACAGGACTTTTTGGGTTGGAGGGTTTGTATTTTGTCCTGTAGTTCATTCAATGTAATTGGAGAATCCAGTGGGTTCTGGTAGTCTTTAATAGTTGATTCTAAGATTTGCATTTGATCATGTATATTTTTTTGCTGTTTGTTCTCTGTTATAGGACCAAAAAGATTGGAGAAGTGGTTTACCCATACATCTCCGTTTTGGATAGATAGCTCTTCGTGTTGTTGTTTGTTTAGTGTTTTCCAATTTTCCCAGAAGTGGTTAGAGTCTATGGATTCTTCAATTACATTGAGCTGATTTCTGACATGCTGTTCCTTCTTTTTCCGTAGTGTATTTCTGTATTGTTTTAGTGATTCACCATAGTGAAGGCGTAGGCTCAGGTTTTCTGGGTCTCTATGTTTTTGGTTGGATAGGTTTCTCAATTTCTTTCTTAGGTTTTTGCATTCTTCATCAAACCATTTATCACTGTTATTACTTTTCTTTGGTTTTCTGTTAGAGATTTTTAGATTTGATAGGGAAGCTGAGAGGTCAAATATACTGTTTAGGTTTTCTACTGCCAAGTTTACACCTTCACTATTACAGTGGAACGTTTTGTCCAGGAAGTTGTCTAGAATGGATTGAATTTGTTGTTTCCTAATTGTTTTTTGGTAGGTTTCAACACTACTTTCCTTCCATCTATAGCATTTCTTAATATTATTCAGTTCCTTTGGCTTTGATGCCTCATGATTGTGTATTGCTCTGTTCAAGTAGACTGTGATTTTGCTGTGGTCTGATAGGGGTGTCAGTGGGCTGACTGTGAACGCTCTGAGAGACTCTGGGTTGAGGTCAGTGATAAAGTAGTCTACAGTACTACTGCCAAGAGATGAGCTATAGGTGTACCTACCATAGGAGTCCCCTCGAAGCCTACCATTGACTATGTACATACCCAGTGTGCGACAGAGCTGCAGGAGTCGTGACCCGTTTTTGTTGGTTATGTTGTCGTAGTTGTGCCTAGGGGGGCATATGGGGGAGGGAATGCTGTCACCTCCAGGTAGGTGCTTGTCCCCCTGTGTGCTGAGGGTGTCAGGTTCTTGTCCAGTTCTGGCATTTAGGTCGCCATAGACTAGTACATGTCCCTGGGTCTGGAAATGATTGATTTCCCTCTCCAGGATGGAGAAACTGTCTTCATTAAAGTATGGGGATTCTAGTGGGGGGATATAGGTAGCACACAGGAGGACATTTTTCTCAGTTGAGATAATTTCCTTTTGAATTTCTAACCAAATGTAAAATCTCTCTCTCTCTCTCTCTCTCTCTCCAGGCCATCTTTGACCGTAATCGAAAAGACGAGCTGCCCGCCCTACAGTTGGAGTGGATAGATGGGATCTGTCAGCCCCTCTACCAGGTAAGGGACTCACCTGTGCTGTCTGTTACTGAAACACCAAGTTAAAGGAGGACTCCAATGCAATAAAATCTATGTACATTCATTTAGCCTGTACCTGTATGTTTTCACAGTATGATGTCTTCTGAAATGACTTTATTTTATCCCTTTTTCAGTCCTCCTGTATGAAATTAGCATATGTGTGTATATGATACAGCCCCTTCTAAGTCAGTCTCCCACACTGTCTCCCCTCTAGGCTCTGGTGAAGCTAAACGTGAAGCTGAAGCCTATGGTTGATGGGATAGCAGCCAATCGCATTAAGTGGAAGGAGCTGGGCTCGTCCTATCAGCAGCACACACACAGAACCACAGAGACCAATCAGAGTCCTGGCTCTGAGTCAAGACCCAACCCAGAGACCAATCAAAATTCAGACTCCAGTCAGAAGTCGCAACTAGAGTTTGGGTCAAATTCAGTATTTGATCAGACGTCAGTTCTTACTACAGAGCCTAATGGTCATTCAGAGTTTGGGTCAAATTCAGAATCTGATCAGAAGTCAGTTCTTTCTACAGAGTCTATTGGTCATCTGGGGTCAGATGGGAGTATATGGTCTGGTCAGCTGTCTCAAGGGCAGGGGGCTGAGGTTTGAAGAGAGAGGGAGGGGGAGAGAGAAGGAGGGATTAGAGAGGGAGGGGGAATTAGGAGATAGGGAGGGGGAGAGAGGAGTGGGGGGGTGGTGGCTGTGTGGTAATGTAGTTTCTGTAACTCAATTTGATCTAGTTGGGGTATTGAAAAGTTCAGTTTTTTACACTTTATTTACAGCTTGTGGACACTTCAGTGGATTACGTGTTGATCTTCATGACGTTGTAATTACAAGAACATTGAGTGGGAAACATCCATTAATGTTAGATTCATGCTCACACCTGCATTGCACAGCTCTTGTGAAATGTAGGAATGCTGTCCACGTGATAAACCTACTGTTTGTTAAAGCTTGTGCATCGATGGCCTGGCTTTGAAACCAAAGATGTCCAGTAACCAATGCCTTCATGTACAAGTAATCACTGTGATCTCTCTCTCTCTCTTTCACGCTCCCTTTCCCTCTCTGTATGTTTATGTCAGCTACTTGAGTAGCTGTCAGAGGTGGATGATGTTGTTCCTGAATGTTTATGTCAGCTACTTGAGTAGCTGTCAGAGGTGGATGATGTTGTTCCTGAATGTTTGTCAGCTACTTGAGTAGCTGTCAGAGGGGGAATGCCATGTCTATGTCTGAGTACCAAATGGCAACTTAAACCGTCAAAAGTAGTGCACTATATAGGGAATAGGGTACCATTTGGGACGCAGCGTATGACAAACCTTTTGGTTGCATGCGTTTATTGCACCTATTAGTGTAGTCAGCCTGTGGCTGAACGTTTGCTCTGTTCAATGTGTGGATGCATGATATCGATACTAGTTGTGTACAGTATATGTGTATTCATTTATTTGTCAAATGTTTCTGTAGAATTGAAGTATGCTGAGGTTTCTGCAATACAAATTGGACAGCATGCTGATATGTTTTGAAAATGGCCGTTCTATTGTTGACACTGGATATTGTGTAGATACTGTGTACATAATGAATTTTTATGTTCCTGACTCCTGGTTTGATGTTGCATCAAGCGGAGGCTAGTATTTGATTTTTGTGTACAGTGAGGGAAAAAAGTATTTGATCCCCTGCTGATTTTGTACATTTGCCCACTGACAAAGAAATGATCAGTCTATAATTTTAATGGTAGGTTTATTTGAACAGTGAGAGACAGAATAACAACAAAGAAATCCAGAAAAACGCATGTCAAAAATGTTATAAATTGATTTGCATTTTAATGAGGGAAATAAGTATTTGACCCCCTCTCAATCAGAAAGATTTCTGGCTCCCAGGTGTCTTTTATACAGGTAACGAGCTGAGATTAGGAGCACACTCTTAAAGGGAGTGCTCCTAATCTCAGCTTGTTACCTGTATAAAAGACACCTGTCCACAGAAGCAATCAATCAATCAGATTCCAAACTCTCCACCATGGCCAAGACCAAATAGCTCTCCAAGGATGTCAGGGACAAGATTGTAGACCTACACAAGGCTGGAATGGGCTACAAGACCATCGCCAAGCAGCTTGGTGAGAAGGTGACAACAGTTGGTGCGATTATTCGCAAATGGAAGAAACACAAAATAACTGTCAATCTCCCTCGGCCTGGGGCTCCATGCAAGATCTCACCTTGTGGAGTTGCAATGATAATGAGAATGGTGAGGAATCAGCCCAGAACTACACGGGAGGATCTTGTCAATGATCTCAAGGCAGCTGGGACCATAGTCACCAAGAAAACAATTGGTAACACACTACGCCGTGAAGGACTGAAATCCTGCAGCGCCCGCATGGTCCCCCTGCTCAAGAAAGCACATATACAGGCCCGTCTGAAGTTTGCCAATGAACATCTGAATGATTCAGAGGAGAACTGGGTGAAAGTGTTGTGGTCAGATGAGACCAAAATCGAGCTCTTTGGCATCAACTCAACTCGCCGTATTTGGAGGAAGAGGAATGCTGCCTATGACCCCAAGAACACCATCCCCACGTCAAACATGGAGGTGGAAACATTATGCTTTGGGGGTGTTTTTCTGCTAAGGGGACAGGACATCTTCACCGCATCAAAGGGACAATGGACAGGGCCATGTACCATCAAATCTTGGGTGAGAACCTCCTTCCCTCAGCCAGGGCATTGAAAATGGGTTGTGGATGGGTATTCCAGCATGACAATGACCCAAAACACACAGCCAAGGCAACAAAGGAGTGGCTCAAGAAGAAGCACATTAAGGTCCTGGAGTGGCCTAGCCAGTCTCCAGACTTTAATCCTATAGAATATCTGTGGAGGGAGCTGAAGGTTCGAGTTGCCAAACGTCAGCCTAGAAACCTTAATGACTTGGAGAAGATCTGCAAAGAGGAGTGGGACAAAATCCCTCCTGAGATGTGTGCAGACCTGGTGGCCAACTACAAGAAACGTCTGACCTCTGTGATTGCCAACAAGGGTTTTGCCACCAAGTACTAAGTCATGTTTTGCAGAGGGGTCAAATACTTATTTCCCTCATTAAAATGCAAATCAATTTATAACATTTTTGACATGCGTTTTTCTGGATTTTTTTGTTGTTATTCTGTCTCTCACTGTTCAAATAGACCTACCATTAAAATTATAGACTGATCATGTCTTTGTCAGTGGGCCAACGTACAAAATCAGCAGGGGATCAAATACTTTTTTCCCTCACTGTATTTCCCAGAATGCAAACCCTCTTACTCCAATGTTGATTTTATTCACTGATGAGAGTAGGGAGATATGTACTGGTGGTGGTATACTGTACTGTTTTAAGTGTTACTATACATACAGACTCAGTTTTCTATTTTAGATAGCAACTCTGTACCAGAATTCAAACGTCCAATATTTTCATATATTAGGCTCTATATTGCTGAATGAGGAATACACAATTTGCATTTTCGCTCACCGTTTCTACATTCTGCACTAATACGTTATACTTTAATGAAAGATTGAGAGAAATTGTGCAATGAAAAGGTTCGATAGAATTTATGTCTGTCTTCCTCAGGTGGTTTTGTAAATAAATAAAAAGCACTGGCATGCGAAAAGATTGCTTTGTGTGGTTTGTGCTAAAAATTATGAAGTATATGATCTATTTAATGCGTTATTGTTAGGGTTATTTGATGTAGTAGGGCAAAAACAATGATCACCATGATACTGCACAGTTACGGAATATCAGGGTATTATTAAATAGACAAAATCCACAAGAATGCACCTCTTACAATTACTGTAGGGTGAATTCAGAAAGAGCAGGACATCATATAAACTGGGACAGCTTAATCCTGACTCGTTTAGTTCTCTGAAAGAGAAAATCTAAACTATTGTGACTAAGCCATTGCAGAGAAACCACCTGATCAAAATCACATCACTTCAGTGGTGTGACATATTAGAGTGGGGCGGAGCAAGCTTTAAACAGGGAGCAGGGATGGGCAAAACGTACAAAATGCAATTACAAAATACCACAAGGATCAATGTATCAAAATGTAATTGAATTGTCATCGGGGTACAATTCGGACTAATAATGGTGTCCCAGTTTATCTAACCTGCTGGCCCAGTCTACCAAATGCAAACTGAAAATATGATTTTGACTCAGTGTACACAAATGTGTGTCATGCCTCCTATGAATATATCAATATTTGTTTTTGTATGTGATTAGGAAACATCTTGATGATTTCAGAAATGTATCATGTGTTGGGCTAATATGTTGGATAGATGTCTAAAAAGGTTCCAGAAGTATCATGACTCAGGATGAGACCCAGATGCAGACACGTGAGGTAGATGGTTCAACACGGAGAAAGACGCTGGCACGACTTGACGGGAAACAGAAGGCAAAGGACAGTGAGACACATGTTTTATCTTGGACACATGAAACGTAGGATGGATATGGAGGGTGCGGGGCAACAGAAGATGAACAGCAGAGGGGCCAAGGCTTTTAGAGACAGGGAAAGGGCTGATGAAACGGGGGGAAAGTTTGCAGGTCTCCACCCAGAGGGGCAGATCCCGAGTAGACAGCCATACCCTCTGCCCGAGATGATAGCGGGGAGCCGGGGTTTGGTGGCGGTTCGCTTGTCGACGATACCTGGAGGTGGTTTTAAGAAGAGCGGACTGGGCTCTGGGCTGAGGGTATGTTGACCTCTTCCTCTTGCTCAGGGAAGAGTGGGGGCTATAACTCACGGAGTACTCGAAGGGCGAGAGACTAGTGCCCGAGCAGAGAAGGGTGTTCCGGGTGCACTCCACCCACACGAGTTGCTGGCTCCAGGTGGTGGGGTTGGTCGAGCAGAGGCACCGAAGAGTCGTCTCCGGGTCCTGATTGGCACGCTCCGACTGGCCGTTAGATTGAGGATGAAACCCGGAGGACAAGCTGGCCGACGAACCAATGAGGGTGCAGAACGCCTTCCAGAATTGGGACGAGAACTGAGGACCACGATCGGAGACTATGTCGACCGGAAGTCCGTGAATTCGGAAGACGTGCTGTACCATGAGTTGGGCCGTCTCCTAGGCTGAGGGTAACTTGGGAAGGGGGATGAAATGGGCGGCTTTGGAAAACCTATCCACCACCGTAAGGATGGTGGTGTTGCCATCAGACGGAGGGAGACCAGTGACAAAGTCCAGGGATATATGGGACCAGGGGTGATGAGGAACAGGGAGTGGTTGAAGGAGGCCAGCCGGAGCTTGCCGCGGAGTTTTATTCTGTTGTATTTTGAGGCTTAGAGGTTTTGTGGTTGGAATTGCAGTATGTATTTAGTTTGGGAATTTAGATCTGAGCTAGCAACTTTTGATGGACTGGTTTCATCTGGACAAACAAAAAAGGTTGCTTAGCAACTGGATACCAACTCATTCTGTAAAGGAAAATTAGTGATACAGTTCCAATATCTGCATAATCATTGTGATTGAAGGATAGCTGTGAGGGTGATCAAATACTCTCTTCTCCTCGAGCTCATTAATGATAGAATGTTCATATTTGAGTCTGGCAATGACAAGGAGTGGCAAGGAGTGGAATGTTAAATAGAGACCTGTACACAAGACTACCTAACATGGTGT